CATTTTTCAAAAGTTTAAAACTGTATTTTTTAGTGTTAAACAATGCTAAGACCTTACTGACGTCAGGGAAGACCTTGACTCTGCTCTGTGGGTTTGCTGCTTCACTTGGCTGTAATCCATATCATCTGTCATCAATTATAGTCTTAAACTATTGTGTGGTTTTAAACTAAGGTATTTCATAAGTACAGAATGCAGTAACTTGATATCCCTGAACCCTACAGTCACATGTACATGTACATGTATGGTATACACAGTCACATGTCTTTTACAATCGTTATGATATCAGACTGAAGAAGGAGTTATTGTTATTGTATTACAACGGTACTGTACATGTATATCAAAATATCAGAAAACATTGATTGGAACTTTGACTCAAAAACACCATGTATAATTACTTTATTATTGAATTTGATAGAATAGTAATACTAATAGTAATAGAATCACAGTATATTCCTTAAATAAATTAGCACATTGGATTCAAACCCAGAACCAGGACCTTAAGATTCTAAGTCAACAACCATCTTGTTACCTGAAATTCTAAATTTAGGTCAGTCTATAAAAATCAAAGCACAGGAATACCCATCAAGATTTAATGAATTTGCAAGATGTTACATATTAGTGAGCTATTGTTAGATATAATGATAGCCTAATCATTTACAATGTATATCTCTTAGCCTCTGTTAAGCAATTAAATGATACCCATCTTTGTTGACCTGTATGTTCCCTTGACGATACCACGCTTATCCTCCTAACCGCTCAGCTCGGGGCTATGTATGCAGCCAGCCCCCTCCCTGCCATTTGCATAGATCTGGCACGGCGGAGAATTATGAAAGCCGCCCCCTGTATGGTGCTTAATGACGGCGCCTCCCTGTAGGTTTCCTACTTAATGTATCCTCATTCTGTGAGAGGCTGAAGTGGAACTGTAGTGTCGCTGTGTGCGTAGGTTCAACACAATGGTACTACCTGCATCAACAGAAAGGATATTTCTATGGCCTTCAGAGTAAGGTAGGATGTTTTTTGGACTGCTTCATTAACAAACAGGCTGGACTGTGAGCGGTTGAGATTCTGAGCACGGCGAATGATCGCCGCTCGGAGGCTAGAATATCAGCCACATGTTGCTCTTTGATATCGGCACGTTCCAGGGTATTGAAGAGCTTTTTGTGCCATGTTTATGGTTTATGATCGGCTTTTTGGTGTGGCATTACGTTTGAATGGCTTTCTGTGTCCGGACATTGCTGTCGTAAATATACACGTCTGCGTAAATCTACCTGTTTCTGTGAATAGAATAGAAATTTGGACTCTCCCGCTGATTCTGCATGCAACCATGAATGACTAATGGTAACATACATGAAGTTAACCTGGCAAAGTTGAAGTCTAATGGTGCCTAAATTGTACTTGTTTTTAAACACAGTCATTTTTTATTGTTATCAATGTGCAGATTAGAAAGGTGTTGGCAGATACAATTAAGATAGAATCTTTCTCAGCCTATTTGAAGACAAATGGAGAGAGATTAGGACCAGATTAGAGAAATTGGATTATCCATGTGCTGATCCAAGGATGATAACATATGTTAACAGGTTGCACACCCATTGCACCATGATTGTGATTTTTAAAAGGTGGCATCTTGACTGGGTATTTCCTCTTAAATATTGTATAAATTATTAAGCGCTAACAATTCTCCAGGGTTAACAATTTCATGCAGACAATAATTTGCCATAAAATTGTAATTGCAGATGTATCTTTTTTGTATCTGTGTGTGGAGAAGTAAGAAATAAATGCCTGTCCTTGCTTAGAATGTATCAAAATTTGAAGTGCATGCTACGCATAGATTCTTTTCAGAATTATTGGCAAACGGTTTGGCCCACATCTCAAGATTAATATTAGATTCCATTTTTCAGTACAGTATACGTCATGTTTAACATAATATGCACGTCATTGACAATCATTTTACTACATAAGCATCTGATATATTTTGCATCATTTGCTATCAAAGTGTTCAGCAATCTACATAACGTCAAAGCCCTCCTACATCAAAAAACATGCATGGGGCAATTTTAACTCTATACAACCCCAATAAAAGAAGCAACTTTCAGCATTATGAAGGAAATCTTGCAGTAAATTTTGTGTGTCTCATGGCACATTATGGAGCAGATTTAAGCCTTTAGTATTTTATCTATTCTGGGTTTATTCCCAGCTGTGGATATACATGTAATAACCCTCCCCTGCACATCTAGGGCACCCGGGAGGGTGTCTGCAGGATAGATGGAGCAAAGATCAGGGCGTTAGCCAGGGAGAAATAACAAGACAAATGAGCCGCAATGAAGGCCTTGTACCTCCTAGGTAGATATAATTCCTCCTGACGGTCACCGTGGATGTCTGCCGACTGGCCGATGAATTATTCAGCATTAATTATCAGCGTAAGGTGCTGCGATTCCTGTTTGTTGAGGGAACAAAAGGGCTAACAACGGTGGAGAGATTTCTGTCCGACTGACCTTCACACCTTTCCCGTGGGCAGCGTGATTCGTCATGCCGTTTAGCGCCCGTACCGAGCCTCCGTTGTGGGACGACGGTAAACCCTTGTCGTCGCCGTAGCATATGTCTTATCACGCTGGCGAGGGAACCTGTGCCTGTCGGCTCATGGGGTTTTGCACACAGCTGGTGCCAGTAGGAGGGGTAGCCCGATGTCATGGCAAGATATCACTGGCTCAGACCTATATGCAAGTTCGTGACCAATCCTTGCTGTGCTATGCACTGGTAAGAAACATTTTTCTCCGTACAGTAAGACAAATAGCTTTTGTTAGGATATACCAGCATGGCTTCTCTTGTTTATGGTTTACTCTTTTCTTGAGGGGATTCATTTGACTGTATACTGTATACACAGGAGTCATCAGTTATGAAGGCATAACTGAGTGGACGTTTGTGCTTTGATAAGTATCAGCATTGATCTTGCATAATGCATTTGATGCTCTGCTATGAATAGATTCAGCAGGAGCCGACATAGCATCGATACCAGTCAAGTGTAAGCCATAGAATGCAACAGTGTTGATTTAGACATGATTTTTTTTTGTATCTATTAAAGATTTGCATGATCAATTCTAGGAGTAGAAATGTCTATTTGTTATCTATAATTTTTAGTAACGATAAAAGAATTCTTCATATCTGCTTGTGACCACATAGAGTTTGTCTATAATCTTAATGAAATACTGGGTTGAAATTAATTGACACTTTTTCCCAGAAATTTTTTTTGTGTGTTTTGGAGGAACTTTATATAATTGCTAAAACTGAAGCTAATTGTCACTGTAGTTTGTATAAAGACATAATTATAATAATTGATGATGTGCGATCTCCAGTGAGCTACATGTTATCAAATAAGGTTAACGTTCTATTGCTCTGCAAGCAGTTTTGGCTCCTGTAATCATGTTTGAAAGTGGGTTCCCTGAATTTTGGTTCCAATTAGCATATTCTTGTAGCTTAGACCACCTCAATTTGATGGTAAAATTGGAATATCAACATGAAAATAGGGTCAGATGGAAAGCAGGTTTTCCCAGTATCAGGTAGGAAATATACCACAGTTTTTCTTTCAAGTTGTCTTTTTTTTTACGTTTTCTTCTCTTGTAGGAGGAAAAAAAACATTTATTATTATTGGATTTATGTGTGACCTAAATGTACGTATTGCCAAAATTTGGCAATCAAGCTCAGCAAATATTTTTCTTTGATGGCATTATACTGAGGCCCCTGCAAGGAGCCTTGTTACTACTTCCCAAACCCATGCACTTAGCAGTTACTCTCTTAAGGGACTTCTAGAAGGCTGTGGATAGTATGTTCATGTGATGTGTGTTTAAATGAATTCCAATGGTTGCTATTATGAGTCGCAGGGCTCAAAATACCCACATGTAACCTGCAATTTCTAGCTACAGAAGGAATTGTTGCCTTTTTTTAAATGGTAAAAGCCATTATCTATATAATAATTGTATTTAACTAGGGAAAGTTTGTCAAAGTTACAGGTAGAATTTTTTTAACAACTTGCAATTATGTACATTGTAGCAAAGATAAAAGTATTCCAAGCAATCATAATGTACATGTAGATATTATTTTTTAGACTGCCATACTAAGATCATAGAATATTAATGTAGTGTGCCTATAGGACATTGCTACAAAGTGAAATGATTAATCTTTTAACACACTAAATTATCAGAGGCTCAATATCAATAAAGAGGTGTAGATTTGCCAATATCATGTCAATGAAATACTGAAAATGGCATTGATATTGTACACTCTCACCTTTTACTGTTACGTTCAAAATGTACTAGCCATAGGGACGTAGAATTTGACACATTTATGCCTACTTCATCTATAATTCAACTGCTAAGTTCCACCTGTAAAAATCTTACTCAAATGTCATGCACCGGTGCCTGTCATCAACAATTTTCCCTTAATCAGTCACGTCCAGAATTGCCAATATTTTACGTACTACCCCGGAGTGTACTTGTACACGACATGCCGTCTTTGTGACGTACAGTTCCATTTCCACGGAGTAATCACGAAATTATCTTTTAACAGGTTCATTTTTTGCAGCTGGTGATGCTAATTGTATGTAGTGTGACTGTGTGTTGCATATATAATGATCTATTAGGCCACAACAGTTGACTTTCTTGGTTCTTGGCTTTTTGAGAAACATATGAAGCGACAGGGCCCAAAAAACAGGCCTAGGCATCCCACATGTATGATAGCCCTAAATGCTACGACAGGAACCCTGGAATCAAACAATGAATTTAAACCTTTTAATCAAACCCAATAGATGGAACAACTGTATAACTAGGATGACAAGGATTTTCTTTCTTTTAACTGTTGGGGCCAAAATAGCAACATTTTGGAGTTGATTCAGAACCAGATATTTTTTCTTCAAATTAGGAAAAAAATGAAGTAGGGGAATTCAAGAACCAATTGATCAATTTGTGTCACCTTATCCTTAACAGGATTGCTTTTATTTGTTGTTACAGGAGTGAAGAGCCAGTCTCCTCCAATATGGACATCTCCACTGGACACATTGTCTTGGTAAGAATCTTATGTATTCATCTTTGTATCACTCATTAGCTGTTATTGTCATTGCTTTTCCATTCAATTCACTCCCTGACAAGTATGTTTACTGCAATAATCTACTACTAAAATGTTGGTACCAGCGGTAAAAATACATGGCTGTTGGTGTTGGCAAAAAAACAATTCTTTCTCTAGATTTTGTAAGTTTTTGCTTGACTACAACAGCCATTGTACCATACAACAGCTGTCCCTTTCCAAGGTGCTGAAACTATCACTGTTAGTTTCATTGGCATCATCAGCATCATCGGCATTGGTTGGCTGCAGAGCAGTTGATCATAAGTCTATTTAAGGACTGAAAATCTGTTATTTTAGCTTACTATTTATTCCATCAAGTTAACAATCATAAAGAGATAAAGATGTTGTAAGTAAAGACTGAGGGAGATATGTATTATTTTGTCATACTTTGAAAGGTAGCACTACTCTAGATCTGGCAAATACTGCCTGAAACCAGAATATATCAGCCAACGTGACTCTACTATAAACCAGCCCTAGAATTACCTCGGACACTGATCCAAAATCAATTACACTGATTGCTACTGTAGAAATTGAATTATGACCCATTGAGAAGACTTAGTGAGGTTTTGAATTCCTCTTTCTATCCGAGTCCAATTTTTGATCTATGGTTATGTTGCCATTTTCTTACTACCCAAGGCAGTTAACCTGAGAAATCTCTTTGCTATGCTGAAAGGATGGTTCTGGTGTTACTAAAGGATTCAAGATACTGTCAAGCTTGAAACGCTGTCTTGCAGTGATTTTATTTTCATGGTGTTCACAGTGACCTCTCAAATATAAATTCATGAATCAGATAATATGCCTTTTCCAATATGTAACAGAAACTATACTACAGAATTGTTAAAACTATGAATGTTAGGCCACACCAATGTAATTAATTGGTTCTCGGATTGGCCCGCTTTATTTTTATGTCTCATTTGCAGAAAATTTTTTTCATTTTGCCCTGTTGCTTTATATTTTTTCTGAAGAAAATCAGAAAGGAACCAAGAAATCAAATTAATGTGGCCTTATATATAGCACTCTGTGAAAACCTCATTTTCTCATTCTATTGTGGAATTAAGTCTCCAATTTGCAATATTCCCAGCATAGAAGATTCAGAAGAGAGTTCAGATAATGGCAGGCATTTATACTGTTTCATCTAACAAAATGTCTTTTAGAGCCTTATCTAGAAGTATGGTCAAGTAGAGTGACAAGTGGGATTATTCTTTTTTATGTGGTGCCATGTTGTCTGCCCCCTCAGACCTCTTATGCAAAATCTTTGCCTGAAGCTTGAAATTGTGACAATAATACTCATAGAAAATCATTGTGCAGTCTAACGAGTAGATATGTCATGACATTGTATCTTTATGATCAGTCTTAGAGCTTGGTCCTTAAATCCAGTGGGCAAAAATTGTGTGTTACATCCATGATATTTCATTACTGGTATGTGGGGGAGACTAACATACAGTATTTATAAAAGGCATCCAATGCAATTTGCAGGCTCCAATTTGAGAGTAGATATTCAGGATAGGGAAGTATAATATTTATATTGACATTTACTGTCATTTTTTGCCGCCCTGAAATTACATCGGATGCCTTAACACCTCAGACCCAAAAGTATCATCCCAGTCAGTCTTCAGTGTTGTTTAATGTCTTCCTCAGGCCTACATGGAGGATCACCTGAAGAATAAGGACCGACTGGAGAAGGAATGGCAGCAGCTGCAGAACTATGAACCAGACATCCACAGTACTGTCATCGGGGTGTCCGGGGGAAACGCTGCCAAGAACAGGGTCTCTGACGCTGTACCATGTAAGTAAACTCTTTCTTCTCCAACCTTATTTTACTGATGTCCAATTAATTACCAACTACAATGTGCAATGTGCTATGTCTCTGCAACCAGCTCAGGAAAGAACCAGAAATATGACCCTGTGTCAAGTACATGTTTTCTGTACCGGAGTTGTCAGCCCAGGAAGAAACTCATTTTTCCCTAGAACTATATAATATCCACCTTAAACAAATCCACACAAAGGCCACCATGTCAACCCTCCTCACTCAGGTGTAGGAACTGTCACGATCATCATACTCCGAAAATCTGTATCTGTATATCTGTACATGAATCTGTATCTGTGCATGAATATGTATCTGTACATGAATCTGTATCTGATTGCAAATAAAGATATTGAGTGATTGCCAACATTTGCAGTTAGATCAATGTGCAAAGGTTAGATGTAACATGTCCTTTTGTGTATATTACCAGCTGCCTCAAAAGGCACAACGTTGCTAGGGATTGGAACCCAGAACCTGTAGATTCCACACTAATAACCAGAAGAGCACAAGACATTTCAAACATATAGTAGACAGAAAAGACAAATATAGGCATGCTGTTACAGCTTCACAGTGATATGAACATCTGAGCTGTTAAGACGGCCAGATTTAGCTCCATTCCAAGAAAGACATTGCTCTCTTTAGGAGGGGCAAACTAGGAAACCCCAGTGCCTAAGCAGTAAGTCTGTGTAAGCCCTTTGGGTACTTGCTAGGAGATGGGTTAAAGGCATCCAATGCAATTTCAGGGTGGCAATGAAAAAGACTTATTTTCTGTTCATTTTTTTAAAAGGTAAACCTGTTCTATATGCCATAACCTGCTGATATCTGTGAGATGAAATGCCATGGCACTGACAGAAAATGGTTGCTCATTTTGTATCATAGGTTGGTTCTAGCCACATGCATTTATAGGCAATACGCCCAAGAAAAGAGAGAGATGCCTCACGTAGATTGTTTTTTGGCTTTGCCAAATGCCTCTAGTGTGAAATGATGACAAAAAATGTGCAAACAAATGGTAGTAAATGTCAATATCAGACAGATTTCCTCATCATTTTTGTTTTGCTGCCCTGAGATGGCATTTCCTTTAAAGCAGCCCGTGTGGTAAATCCCTCCAGATGTGACACCGGGACCATGAAGGTTAGGACCTCCTCAAACAGCCCCTGGCACAGGCAGATACTCTTCAAACCCAACGTACCGGAGCATTTCTTGGAATAGACCTGCAGACAAAGTTTATTTCAACCCAAGCTGTGATCTTCTTAGGCCACACCAATTCATTTAATTGGTTCCTGGATTCGCTCTCTTCACTTTTTTCTGTATTATTTGCCAAAGAAAATAACTTTGGGTTTTCAGTCAAATTCAAAATGCTCATATTTTGGCCCAACAGTTGAAGAAAGACCTTTTCTTCCTAGTTACAGTTTTTCCATAAAAATGCAGTGGTTTAAAAGTCATTGTCACCATATCACATGGGGTTTTAATGGTTATCACACGGGCTTCCAAATGTTCAATAGAGTAATTTCAAAAATGTTCTGCGTGTGCCACTTTCAAAAATTTGAAAACTGGATTCAGAATAATATGGATTCGTAATTTTTCTGTTTATCGGCACCAAATTTTAGCATATTTTGCATTGAAATGCATGTTTTCTCAGGTGGGAATGACATGAATGGTGTATTAATTCTGCACCACCCTTGGGCTCAGCCGTCCCATGGTATAGTACTCTAATATTATGTACATAGGACTGTAGTTGTATTTGCTTCAAATAGAACAATGTGGCTCCAGACTGTCTGTAGCCTTGCTTGGAAAGACGTCATCTGACCCAAGCACTGCTAAATTCATCTCCAGAGACCAGCTTTAAAGTGCCCCCAGTATTAAAATTGTTTGATTGATGAATTCATATGTATTGATTACCCAGCTGATCACCCTTGTCCGTCATGTTTGGACTCTGTGACGTTACAAGGCTGTCATTGTGTCATGCCAAAATTCACCACACCCAGCAAGTAGACAGAGGCATTTCAGAGGGATTTTCTTTAAATCTCAACGTTCTTTAGATAGATTTTTTTCCATTAATGGTAGAAAACAGTAAAAATGATACAATATGAATAATTTTATCTAGTATTTGACATGTTTAGTCAATGACATTTAAGTTCATTTTGACAATATAATTATAGTGTATGATTACAATATTTTCTATCATACCCGGGCCTTAAAACATTTTTTTGTTTAGGGACACCAATTTTAGTTTCACCTTTTCCACCTTTTTAGTACATTTTGCATTAAGATTCTTTCTTGGGTATGACATACTGTAAATAAAATAAATCACAGGGTATTCCTTCTGTGGTCGGGCTGGTACCTCAGGTGATGTGGAATACACTGTGTTGTATTCTATTTGCATGCTATGCACACCTGCATTTCACTATGACTTGTTGCAGTAACTGTAGCAAAAAATCCTCTATGTAGTGCCTTAGACTGATATTCTGCAAGTTTTCACCCACACAGAAAGGCTACCTATGGGACTGGCTTATAAAGATTTCTGCCCGCTTTAGCCTGAGATCTTTGTAGAAGAAAACTACCATTATTTCAGCGTCAAGCCTGATAGTTTTCCTTACATCAACAGGAAAAGATGACATGTCGCTGACAGAAATCCATATCAGTGCGGAACACCTTGTCAGCTTCCACTAACTTTGGAATACTTCAAACATGCAGGCTTGAAATATTGGCTGACCTGAGGGCCTCGCGTAGGCAGCCTTCTATGCCTCACTGGCAAATCTAATCTAGAACAGAAATTTTTCTGTCGCAGGCAACCAATTATAAAGTGTTGCTAAATCCATGCATGACTTGCGGTGCCTTAATTGTAAGGTTTGCCGCATCTTTTCAGGATAAAAGCAATCATTTTAAAGTGTAACTCGCATAAAATGTGTTCCTAAGTTCCCAACTTGAAATCTTTTTTGAGGGCTCAGGCAAGGAACTACAAAGGAAGTAAAATCAAGAATAAGAGGAAATTTTAGAAGACTTAGTATTTTCTGCAAGCTAAAACAGTACATATACATGTAAGGGTAGAGAAAATATACTAGCTTGGACCTATTCTATATTCTATGCACCTGTAAATGTTACTAGAGTTCAGATAATTTATCACCTTAATAGCGAGTGTGACGCATCATGTTTTAGGCCATTTACAGGGGCATTTACAGGTGGAATGCATCAAAGGGAAAATTCATGCCGTTGTTTGCACCACAGAGGCTAGTTAAAAGACTGCTGTATTGAAAAGAGTTGTCAGGCCAACCCATCACCCATGTGTGTCAGGGAAAGCCACAACCTCGCCATGTTTCACAGGCAATTACTCCACCACACTCTGGCCACAACACGATCTAATGGTTGGAGAAGTGCTGTATAATTTTGCAGTGGAAAAGTCACTGAAACAACCATGTTGAGAATAAATCCAGTGAAAACATTCAAGATTCAAGATCAGTAAAGCTGGTACTGGTAGGAAATTGAGAAGAAACAGCTACATTCAACTTAAACCAGGAGAATAAATTTGGTGAAAACATGTCAAGATTAACAGTATTCTAGAGATCAATTAAGCCAGTAGTACTGGTAGAAAACGAGAATAAACAGCCACATTCAACAGATACAAAGATATTACTTCATGTAGTCTAGTTTTATGAGATATCTGTAATATCAAGCTGCTAAAGTTGGGACAAACAAAAGACTCCACAAAATGAAATCAATTTTAGTCCCTTGAAAACAAGACTGAAAGATGAAATAAAATATCCACTGCTGTCTACACCCATACTAAATTTCAGGTTATTTAGCTTTAATACGTATGGGACAATACAGGTAATCACACATAGTGAAACAAGGATGACATCACATCAGATTCTATACTTTTCAAATGGTTGTGTTGGATACGATATCGTCTCCAATGGGAAAAATTCTAAAGAAACATTATTGACAAAACATCCAACAAAAACTGCAGAAAATCCTAGTTTCATGCAGGAGCAGTATGTTCTGACAATTGCTTTTTATCCCAACATGTACATGTAATGTATAATGAGAGGCTGTGTTTGGTTCTTGATAAATTGTGCATGTCTGATTGCAATGTTCACCCAAGGAAGATGTGTACGGTGTAATCAACTGTACAATTTACCCGAGGTTGATGCAGTCTGAGCGAGGTACTAAAGACTGGCCTTGATCTTAACATGGTACGCCCAGCTGCACAATTACCCATGAAACGTCCCGTTTAATCACCTCTGGCACACACTCTCGCTACCAGCACTTTGTCGGTAATTTGTGGGAATATTGGGACAGATTAAAAACGTGATCGGATTTTTATATCACACACTTTATGGACTGCGGAAAAAAATTTTGGAAGTCTATTTAATATGTGGATTTCATATCTTTACTTTAAAAGGAAGGCATGAAGTGAAAAATTGGCCCAAGTACAATAACTATGATTATTACTAATAATTATACTGTTTAATACTGTTTAATAATATGAGTAGCTTTAAGTTGCTGAATGTTTAGGTTTTTGTGATTTGTAAGTAATTCAGCATGAGTTAAGTAGAAAACAAGAATTCAGAGATCTCAGACCTCCATGAAATATTCAGATCTTTTGTGATGGTGACTGTATCCTCTTCTCATTCACCATGGTGTCTTTATCGTGCATAGGACACAACACCAGCTGTCAAGGAGGTCATGTATCTAAAAAAAAACTGTAAAAACAGCAAGTGCTACCAGATGTAGACATGATTAATGACTTTCTTCCTCTGGGCAAGACTGAAACCAACCGTTAGATCCATTACAACTTGACCTATTGGTCATGTAGAAACAGACATATGCACAGACACACGCAGACATAATGATAAAAAACACTGTCAAACTTGTCTAAGACAACCCACTCAGGACTGGGAAAATGTCCCCTGAGTGGTTCATTTAATACTCTACAAGAATTGATATATAAATTCTTTAAAAAAATGGATCTTTGATCATATGTTACTTTCTGAACTTTTTGTGTTCTTGTTGTGAGGTTGTATGCCATAATGGCAATGTACCTTTTAAAGAATTTGCCTTGATAGATCTTGTAGTCTGATGTGAATAAAATGTTGTTGTTGTTTGTTTCACAGATGACCACTCCCGTGTGGTGTTGAATGACAGTTTGAACATCGGAACTGCTGACTACATCAACGCCAGTACAATTGTAAGTTCACACCTTTCCAAATTTCTACTATCCCTTTTTTGCTAAGCAGCAACTTTAAGTAAACCATTTAAGTAAAAATAATAGTAGTAGTTGTAAGACTCGACTATGGGAAAGTTAATGTGCCTTATGCCTAGCAAATGGTAGTAATACCTGCAATAACTAACCCAGAGTTTATAACTTTGACAGACGGACCATGATCCACGGAACCATGCATACATCGCAACCCAAGGACCACTGGAGACAACTGTCTGTGATTTTTGGCAGGTGTGTTATCCTGTTTTTGATCCTCAGTTTCAGCAGAATTAGCTTTGCTTTCAAAGAAATCTTCATTAGCATAATAGAGTGATGAGTGAAGGTGGCAAAAAAATGAATTAGAGACAGGAATGCCCTTTTAAACCCTCCAGCTGTATGTCCTATCTGAGAGGAAGTCCCTAACCAAAGCGATGTTCGCTGTCACTTCTGTACCGCAAACTTATATTAATAGTTCTGAGAACATGTCCTATTTTGTTCTTAGAACATGACACTTTTGCTCAGATCGGAAACTTGTGGACATTAAGTGCCTTTCCCAAGGACACAACAATTGGACCTGCCAGGGATTCCAACCCCAAACCTTTGGAACCCTAACCACAAATAGAAGTGTGAAATGTGTTGTTTGTTGTTAACAGATGGTGTGGGAGCAGGGCAGTGTGGTGATCGTGATGCTGTGCAGTCTACAGGAGGGAGGAAGTGAGCAGTGCTGTCAGTACTGGCCTGAGGAAGGCAACAGTCTCTACCACATATATGAGGTACGTACATTGTAATTATTGCAATGCACATTTAGAGTACTAAGTACTATTATAATAGTCTTTTTCTAAACATTGTTGTATTTAGCTATCCCAAGAATGCCGCCTGGCTACCTTATGAAGGCTTATCCTTACCATTAAGAAATAATTTCTCAACTTTCTTTTGTCTGCACCTGTCGGCACTGTAAACCATTCTTGGAAATTGTCCATTTTTCTGTTTGCTACCGTGAACTTTTAGAAGCCAGTCACTACACGGGCTGGAACACCCATTTTGAACATTATCAGGGCCCAGGTATGACATAAAGATCATTCAACAACACTTACAGTTAGGTTTATGAAATGGAAAGTAAAAGACAGGCTGTTGATTGACAGGTGCACCTTGTGTCGGAGCATATCTGGTGTGAGGGACTTCCCTGGTGCGCAGCTTCTACCTGAAGAACATCCAGACTGGAGAGACTCGCACCGTCACCCAGTTTCACTTCCTGTCCTGGCCGCAAGGGGGCATCCCTGCAACCCCCAAGGCACTGCTGGAGTTCAGAAGGTACGGGACTGGGTAGAGAGCAGATGCCACCATTGAAGGCTATAGTAAAATACTCAAAAACATGATTGCAAAATATGAGAGAACAATATCTAATGTTTCATAATTCCATAACACTGTCTTCCCTGCTTTGATAGAAGTATAATTCCAGATAATAAACAGGGGCATAATTCAAATAAGCAATTACAATGTAGTATGATTTTTCGGTGGCTGACTTGTAGGTTTGTGTTTCCTGATAGCTTTGATTGCATGGTCGGGTGGGAAGTGATTTTGGCAGTTGATTGATAGGGTGTGTCATGATCATATCTGAGTGTGAGCCAGTGGCTAGTGGGAGTAAATGGGCAGTATGTGGAGGAATTCAGGAAGTTGTGTAATACCCAAATACATGTACATCATATGCAATCCCCTCCAATGATACCGGTTAGGTTTGTCATAATTTTTCTTACCACATAAGTCGATGGCTTTTTTAAAAAATCTGTTCGTGGTTTGTGTGTTCTGATTATTTTCTATGAGTTTAGACTGATTAGAATGTTCCCTGAAACTGCTTGCTGCTTTTATTAATCACCTCTTTGCAGGTGGCTGCCATTTTTGTGACCTTGCAACTGTACTGTGACCTCTGGTTGCATAGTCTCAAAAGTGACATCCTTCTTGTAACCTCTCAACTCTCCCAGCCTAGCCTGTCCTCTATCAGTCAGTTTTGCTGCTCTTGACAATGTGATTTTAGCAACTTGAAGTTTTTTTACTCTTCTTTTACCTTATTTCACCTTGAAGATTTAGATTGATCTTACCACTTTTCCCTTGTATGCTCTAATTTATTAGTTAGTGCCCTGACATGTATTTGAATAATATTCTGTCAAGTTCATTACTGTTTCCATTATGCTTGAAGAAGTTCTGAAGAACATGATATGTTAATTTGTCAAATTATTGTTCAGGTAAAGGCACAGATCCGGACCTGTAGCCTCTGTATCTGGTACTTGTATCAGGTCTTATACCTGATGTTAATTTTAGATACGCAGCCCTATTTCAGATATTGACTGTAACATGGGCAGAATGTGGCCTACATCCTGTAGTTTGTGAGTTTTAAAGTGCCTATAGCAAAGTGAGAATCCGAAGCACTAGGTTGGAGGTTATCTGATGTGAATGAAGTACAGAGCTATAAAGGTCCATAGCAGATGGAATTGAATGTTACCATGATCATGATCATGTTAGGTATCACTGTAGTTTACCCTGGAGGAGATAAGATTAACCTTAAGTATTATGTATTATCAGCATGACTAGAGTTTACTACCATGTGCAGTTTATGTAGCATCAAACAATAATATACTTGGTAATGGTAATACTGATAGTGTGTTATCTAGATATCAGCTTGGTTGATCTCAACAACACTCAGTTCATTGCTACTGTAATGCAATTTGTTCATTGTTTCCACAGGAAAGTGAACAAGTGTTATCGAGGCAAGTCCTGCCCTATCGTGGTCCACTGCAGGTATGATTTTTTCTTTTGCTAGACCAAGTTTTCAAGTTTGCAAATTGAATATTGATGAGACAGTTCTAGGGATATCTAGGCATTTCAAATTATGTTTGCTTTTTGGAGAGTGGAAATTAAAACAAACATTTTTCTCCATGTGCAGTGATGGTTGTGGCCGTACGGGAACCTACTGCCTGGTGGACATGGTCCTCAACAGGATGACTAAGGGTGAGTGTGCCTGCAGCGCCACCTAGTGTTTTCTGCTCACTCTGCAGTAGAATGTCACCACTGGTTCTGAGACTTTTCTGTAGGACTGTTCCCTATATACATACTGTATGTGAAGGAAAATTCACTGACAACAATGCCTCCTAGTGTTTGTAGTATAACTGCAGTTGGCTGTGCATTCTTGTAAATTTTGCAAGAAATTTGATTCAAGAAATTCCACGCACTGAATTCTATATTTGTTTCCTTCATTTTTGTCTTTTCTAACAATTTTTTTTTTAAATTCCTAGGTGCCAAGGAGATTGACATTGCGGCCACACTGGAACATATACGTGATCAGAGACCGAACATGGTGAAGAGTAAGGTATGTTTGTCACTGCCTCATCATAACAACATAACTTTGTATCCAACTCCCCTTTAAAGATGCAATGTCTTTTGAAGTAGTAATATGGAGTTAAGTTTTCCATTATAATAATTGTAATTATCATCATTAATTGGTTCGCAAAGCCCAGGTGTTATTTTCTTAATGTAACCAATTTAAGTGGGCTCGTGTGTAAAGATCCCACCACACTTAATGAAAAGAGCAGGGGTCCTTCCCAGTGTGCGTGGTTCAAACCTTACAATCTAGTCTCAGGTTTGACATTTGAAAGAGTTGATAGTCACCTGTTATGCCAATTTTTCCACAAATGTGATAAATCTTCATAAATAAGTATTGAATGAAATCTCAAGTTTGACATTTGGAAGAGGTGATAGTCACCTGCTGTGTCAGTCCTCCCACAAATGTGGTAAATGTTTGTTTTCCATCCCACAGGACCAGTTTGAGTTTGCGCTGACAGCAGTAGCCGAAGAGGTGAACGCCATCTTGAAAGCCCTACCGCAGTAGCGCTAACAAACAGATCTATGGACGCCGATTCACGCACTACCAGGAGAAACTTTCCCTGACTTACCTACCAGTCGCGTAGGTAAACTACAGAAAGAAAGCTTCAACATGAAGCAAAGATACAAACCTACATGTAGCTGTCAGTCAGAAATAGGAGCTGTGTACGGATCAGTGTATAAATGTCTTCTTGGTGCTAGGACTTTCCAAGATTCTCTGCTTTAGTGATCATGTTCATTGTCTTTAAGCCAAAGAGAGGTGTGGAAAAACATAAGACACTCTTACAACAATCCAACTTAACCCCTTGATTCCTATATTAATTTGAAAATAATGAAATTGCCTGTCAGTGAGATATGAATGGTTAAGAGGTCAAGATATCCACACTATGTTGAAAAGGCTGGAAAAACAAACTTTGTTTTTTCAGCTTCCCAACTGACCCTTAGCTAGTCAAACCTGCAGAAGAGTATCATTTTTTGAAGAGTCGACACTCGACAGCTTTCTGTTGAGTGAGTCGGGTAAAATGTTTGTCCCCTGCCCAGACTAAAGCAAATGGAAGGTTGGGAGACAGCCCTGGTCCTAATGCATTTCAGTTTCACAATCATTTTTGTGAACCTCATTTGTTAGGTCTGAAATCCTCACCGCTATGGCTTAACCTATACAGTCAGACTTTGTTTTTTCAGGACTAAAATCGGAAACACAATTTTCTTTCCTAGGACTACATAAGAGCCCAGCACAAATTGAAATAGTGTAAAAGAAATCAATGGATTGACAAGTTGAGAATTCTGGAAGGTCCTAGTGCCGTTTGTGGTGTAAAATGTGGCAGGGTTCTGAGGAACACATCAGATAAACCAGAACGTAGGTTAGTAACAGGAGATAAGAGAACTCCTGGTTGTGGGAAAAAAAACTTCAGAGAACTAAAGACTGGAAAGCTGTGATTTGTAGTAGACTGAGGAGTTAGAACACATGCCTTGCCTTCAGAGCTCAGGCATATAATAGATAGTGTGTGGTGTATAGAGGATTCTGTGGTCATGGGATGGTTTTTGTTGTTCGCTGTGTCAACGTGTCAAAGTCAGGACTTGCAATGCTTGTGTCTGTGATAGTCACTGCACTATTATCTTTCTCATGTGACTTTCTCCACAGACCCAATACAGTGTCTTCTCTACAAGAGAAAGTTACTGCGAGACTATAAATTTAATACCTGCACTAAAACACCCCTGCACACTTCCACACATGGTACATTCCATGCCACAATCTACTCAGTTTCAAACTGATTTCTTAGATGGTCCTTATTCAAATTCTGACAAACAACATGAAGTGTTGTCTGAAAGATGCCAGGAACTTTTGACATGATCCCCACTTTCATAGCATTCCATTATGCACACAGCTTTTGCGTTAGAACACCTGACAGGCACCTGGCACAATATTTTGAAACAGAAATATCGAAGATGCGGGAAGTTGAAAAGGAGAAACAAAAGAAAGCTATTTTTGTACATAGCCATGTAAGAAAAGGTTCTAACATGCTGCATGCAACAATCAAGTCCAATTTAACTCAAAAGCTAAACTAAGATACAAGCAGGGTTCTCGCAAAGTAAACATTATATGGAACAAAATATGAAAAGATTTATTCCATAGAAATCATACATAATATTGTGCATTTTGAAACTGGCATATCTGTGGTTATTATAGGGACTTTTTGACCAATCAAAATAAGTTGAAAAGATACTGGGTAAAATTTAAATTTGATTGGCCAATTGAGTTGTCCTAGCTAACCAATAAGACATGAGATTTTATGATATACTAAATGTTTCATATCATCTTAGAGCTGATTGGTGCACATCAGACTCAACAGATAATCTTTAAGTCAGACTCTGATGCTTACTCCTGTATCTATGTACCATGACAGTGTCTGTGCAGTAAGGTATATTATACAACACAGAGTGACCAACTTTTTGTGATTGAATGTAATATATGACTATAACATGATTGTGGTATATATATTTTGTGTAGTTGTAAGTGTACCTAGTAAAATGTGCATATCATCATGACCAAAAATGCAGTGGAAAATGTATCAATATCAAGTATTTTATCCCAGATATTCTATGATTTTAGACTGTGTACGTACATAAGAGATATAATTTTACTTGTTACAAAGAGGTATTGTAAGTGTTATTGATGGTGAGGGATCAGTTTTGTTGAAAGACAAGGTTTAAGTGTTGACTGCAAACAACCATGAGATATAATGGACACAGTTAGCACATCTAAGCAGTTATACTACAATGCAATCAACAAAAACATATGAGAAACCATGGAGTAAACAAAAGAATTTTAAAGAATTTTAAGACGAGAATTGGAAATGATGTATCAGTGTACATTCCTATATTCATCCATTCCCATGATGCAACATGATTGCCAAATATGGTTCTATCGTTCTAATCCCATAATGCAAATATGGTTGCCAAATATGGACATGGCAAGATCATGTGACTGCGGGGAATTGAATGTTCACTAGATTTGGTGGATTGACAGTTGCTTTAACATGAGCGAAATGGACATTTTCAATGAGAGAATTCAGTATCATATAAGGCCACACCAATTTAATTTGTTGGTTCTCGGATTCGCCTCTTCATTTTTTCCTGATTTGCAAAAAAAAAAAAAAAATTTCAAGAATCAACTGCAAAATGCTCATATTTTGCCCTGAACAGCTGAAAACAGTCCTTTTCTTCCTAGTTGTTACAGTTATTCCATCTTTCAATGCAGTGGTATCATTAGAAGTTCAAAATTCATTGTTTAAATTTTGAACCAGCCTTTTGTGTTGACTTCATACCTCCTATCGTAGCATTTGGGGCTATAATAGGATGCCTAGATCTGTTTTTATTTTTTTTCGCCCTGTCGCTTCATATTTTTCCTGAAAAAATCCGAGAACCAACAAATTAAATTGGTGTGGCCTAAGGACAATTAATTGTAACTGAGACTGTACAGTTCTTTCTTTAAATTGTTGCATTTTATTTCCTTAGGATTTTTAATTTTTCCCTCTTTTAACTCAGGCACAGATTTGCAACTGTGTTGTGGTATATTTTTTAATGACTAATACAAAGAAAAAAGTGCCCAGGGGGATGTCACTTATAAAATTCCAATACTCCATATTGTTTCTGCAGCCCTTGGGCTACCCAGAACCACTTTAGCAGGGGGCTAGTCCACCAGTAGTGGTGTGTTTTCGAAATAATGTGCACTTTTCATAGTGAAAACTCTACTCCCGAAAACCATTGCATTGATCCTAATGTCACAATCGAAGAGTTTTCAAGAGAAAAGTTTTTTTAACATTTCATTTTTTTTGGTCAATCTACAATAAAAGCACATGTTGCAAATTGGCACATGTTGCCTTACCTATTTTGATTAGGTATGATAGAAAATCAAATCGAGTGAAGTATCATTTTCAACAAAGTCTGACAAATGCTACATACAAATGAGTCTTTTTTGTCTTGAAACTTGGTGAAAAAGCGTGTATACAGTATCCGCCATGCTACAAAGCAGAAACAACATTTAAAAGATGAGTTCTTAAATGTGTTCGTTGCTATTGTGATATTGTGGTGATTAGCAGGGAAATAAAACTGTGAAAAAGTTTGCTGTTGTCACCATTTTTGTGCACTTTTAATATATAAGTTTTATTAAGCAAGTATATGTAGTTATAGTTATGACTCTCTATGCCATTAAGTATTGCTAAGTAAAACTGGCACCGCAGGTTGAGAAAAAATATTTTGTGATTCAGAAGCAACCATGCAATTCTATGAATTCAAAATTATGGTTTTTTGGGTAAGTCCCAATTTACTTAGTGTTGGATAGAATGTTTATCCCTTTTGGACATAATGTAGTACATGTATACCAGCACAGATGAACTTTCATGCTAATCGTAATATGTAGTTATAGTGACCCTCTAGGTCATTAAGTAAGTAAAAAACTGGCACCGCGGATTGAGAAAAAAGCCGCTATTCTGGGTTCCTGATAGTTACATACAGGCACTCAACCATGCACTCAACTGATGATAAATTAGAGGCAAAAAATCTCACAGTACCTTGAAGTTCGTCTTTTATTGTGCGTGTTTTTTTAATACTACAATATACATCTATATTGTCGTGTTATGTAATCATTTTAGATTGCTTTGGTTCAATACTTGACCATGGTATTATATAAAAACCTAATTGATATCAGCCCTACACCAAATGCACAAACTCCGCCAAATTGTTACATTACGAAAGAAAGACGATATTAAAACAGGTAAAAGGGAAGTTCGCTCGAATAATACCTACAAGTTCGTTTTTAAGGCTAATTAAGTCACGTTCCTGTGTCAAATTCTCCTCAAATTGTAATACTGCCGTCACTGGGCTACCGTTTCGAGCAAATGGAAACCTACTATAAAATCATAACAGCAAAAATCCACACAAAAATCTAATTATCAAGCTACAACGAAATAAGCTTATAAAATAAAAAGATAAACTACAATGCAATCGTTTTCGATGGAAAACGTCACCAACTGAAAAAAACTTCTTGTTCACAAGTCATAATGTCCACAAAAACAAACCACACTGAAAAATAAGTATGGCCTTACGAAAGGTAAAATCAACCTTTTCAAACAATGGAGTCTGGAAGAATGAAGTCAGGACCAGGGATGTCGTTCCCAGATTCTCGGCAGACGTGAGAGATGTACTCTCGTTCCCATTCTCCAATCCATGAGGGTGAGGTGCAGGGCGCCCATTTCTCGCCAGGTGCGCTTGATCTGTAGGACAAAATGCAAACAAGAAATCGGAGATTTCAGCCTTACAAACGGACGACAATTCATGTGCGCGCGGATGCCATTCATATAAGTAAATCAACATGGTCAAATGTATAATACACATTATAATACGTTGCTTTGTGGTACCTGTGACTTAAAAATGTTCCTGACTGGCTGTCTTCTGCGAAAGCCTTTTTCAGCCTCTTTCTCTCTTCTTTCATGTCCTCTGGATTCCACTCTATCTCAAGCTTCTTCATCAGAAGGTGCAGCGTCTCTTGTTTATCCCTCGCCAAGGCCGTGTAGTTGACCACGGCGTGGAAGAAGTGCTCTGGATACTTCCTCCGTACCTCCACAGCTCGCTGCATGCCGCTAAGCCATCGTGCTACCACGTAGTGGTAATAAGAGCCGTGATAACGAACTGTGGAGAATTTCGGATCGTCTCCCACAATTCTGAAGTCATGCGGAACCTCGGGAACCCACCTCCATAGACCAAAACGAACGAGAGACCTGAACGCCCTGTACACGGCCTGATTCCTGCACCAAAGCCGCGTCCAAGACTCATAGAACTCTACGCCGTTTCTGTATAGAAAGACAGTTTTGGCGGTGGGAAAGGCGCGGTACATGGCGTCGGCGGCTAGGAGTGGACCGGATTGTAACTTGTAGAAGATGACCGAGCGATGCCGGGGGTCTGATGTGACCAGGTTGTAGCTTAACAAGGAGACGACATTTTTCAGCAGCTCCACGGCCGTTGCGTCGTTCAGGAGAACTGCAGGGGCTTGCCCGGTGTGGTGGGAAGAGGGGTTCTCACCCTTGCGCCTTGATCGGCTGATTTCGAGGCAGATGGTGTCCAGCACCTCCGGTTCATTGCACGACTGTGCCACCGATGTGGCTTCAACTGCTCGGAGCAGAAGGGTAGAACCACATCGAGCTGTGGGCGAAAAAAGGTGTCCGTGTTACTTTTAAAGGTATCCGATGCAATTTCAGGACGGCAAAACTGGATTCTCAAAGTCGATTCTTTTAGCAAGTTGAATCAATCCTATCCCATTGCATGCTGTTTTCTTGAGCGTACTTCAACTTGCTACATTAAAAGAATCGACTTTGAGAATCCAGTTATGTGTGTGTGTGTGTGTGTGTGTGTTTGTGTGTGTGTTTGTGTGTATGTATGTATATTTCGAGGCAGATAGTATATATATATCCCGCATGATGACGCAAATGTACTACGGACTGTCAGTAAAATGTCCATTTCAGACAGATTTTCTCATCCAGAACATTTTGTTTTGTTTTGCCGCCCGGAAGTTGCATAGGATGCCTTTAACTCAAGAATTCAATTTTCAGCTACATTGACTGCCTCTAAACCTTATTTCACTTTTTCTGAAATGATATTCCCGTACCTGTCATGTACACGAAAACCTCCTGCACATGCGCAATCTTGTCAGCGATGCTGTCCACGGCAGCCTGCAGTTGCGAAAATGGTATGACCAGAACTTCGGCTGCGTTCCTCCTCTGGGCCTGTAAAATAGGGAGAAAAATAAAATGGAAAGGTAATATTTGCAAAGCGAATTCATAATGTTAATTACATAATGTTAAATATATGAGGTTATATTTTATTCCCCAGTAGTGTAATGTTGGATAAACCCAATACCTCGCGGAAAAAGGGGTGTTTTTTCATGTCTGTGCCGTCCACAGGTCGGATAAGCACCACTGCCTCTTGTTCCCAGTCTACGCCGTAGGTAGAAAACTCGTTCCCACGGTTGGTGAAGAACGCGGCTACGTCATGAACCGGTACGCTTTCTCCACTCGGCGTGAAATCTTCAAGTGAGTTGAGGGCGAGCTGAATTTTCTTCTTCTTAGGGACCACCTTTTGGGCGTAAGCACAATTTTGTTTTCCCTGCAAACGGCAAAAGAGATGGGAGAGTCTTTATTTTTGTAAAGTAGCGCTAGAAAAAATAGTTAGTAAGCAGAATTTTCATAGGTACCCATAGAATGTATTAGTGCTACAAGGAATGCATGAAGCTCCTGTCATACGTGCAATTCACGATCATTGCCCTAATTTGTTCCCGATCATGGCCAGCCGGCCAGGTTCGGCTGACGTTCGGGAGCACTCTGACCAGATTTAGGTAACGTCTACCTTTCTATACGAATTGAAAGAATTGAATTAAATCTCAAATTTGACACTGCTGACGTATACTCTTCCCCTTCGGTTGGCTGTTGTTCGGCTGACTTAAAGCATGTTGTAAATATTTTGAAACATTTAGCTGGCGAGGCCGAATAGTAGCCGAATTCGCTGAACACGGTACGAGTACCAGCTGACTTTGCGCCGACCTACTTGATACCCCTAATCATGGTTGCGGGGCGTTTGGCTAATTTTCGGGTGGCAAAATTAGCGAATGTGTGACAGAGACTTTGAGAGAAGAAGCAGACCTTTGGCCAGGATGGCTGGTGAGCAAACCGCCGGTAGACCAGGTAAGAGACGCCCGCTGCAAGAGCGCTTACTGCGGCTGCTGTCACCGGCGCGACGAGGGACTCCATTTTGGGAATATCAAATTGCGGAGTATATCGTTCTCTCTGTAGGGAAACAAGGCATGATTTTAACGTGATAGTGTGCGGTAAAAAAAGTGACGAACTGAGGGTATCGATGGTTCAGTCTTGAGTTCACATTTCTCATAATCTGCTGCAAAATGGCATTAACTACGAAGATGGCTAAAAAGTAAGAAGTGGTGCATTTTTTTGGTGAAAATTGATTTCCCTTTGAAAAATTGTCTGCTGTCAACAACCACATTAAGACAGTCCCGTCCAGTTTTACACAATAAACAACTTCAGGCTGTGTAAAGAAGTGAAACAACAAAACTTAAGTTGTACCTTGTAACTACATTTGAACATATACAGCAGCGGTGACAAAAGGGGGAAAAGATACTAGTAGTAAGTAGGTGAAATAACATCGTTGTGAAAAATAGTTCAGTACTAGTAAACTGTGGCGACAACGCCCCATTTTCTGACTACATGTATCGTCCAAAACCACTTTTCAGATGTGTGAAGAGTTATGACTATGAGTTACTTGTACTTGTATGGTTGTGTTTTAAAAATGATAGGTTAGAGCATGAAATCATTAATGAAATGACCTACCTCAAACAGGTTGTAGAGCCAACGCGGTCCGACACAGCCTTCTCAGTACTGCAGCAGCGTGGACAGGGAATTCGAAACTTGTTATTCCGGTTAGGCCATGTTGATTTGATTATATGGATGACATCCGCGCGCGCATCAATTTTCGGCCGTTTCCAAAAAAAAAAAAACATGCTGTAAATCGTACAAAACAGTTGCAAAATGAGCAAATATATACTGTAAGTTGCACAAAAAGTATTGGAAAACAATAACAATGTCGTAGAATGTCAAAACCAAACGAAAAAGAGGAAAATGTAAAGAAATGAATTTGAAGAGTAGATTATTCGCCATACCATACCCTGTGTCATTTGTTCAATCTTCATGACCACGTAGATTTCATAATGAAAGCAACTTTTTTTTTTCAAAACTTTTTTTTTATTCGCACGCTCGCATCGGTTTTGGGGTTCCCAGAGGATGTCATCCATATAATCAAATCAACATGGCCTTATGGTGGTATGGCCCATCGATGGAGGTCATGTAGCCGGCGGCTTCCCCGGCCTCACTCACTGTTGACACCAGTAGCAGCGCTGACGAGGACGGTTCACGACGAACTCAGCTGAATTCGGACAACCTCTATTGAAATCTAGACAAACTCTACTGAACTTCCGACAAATCTACTGAAATTCAGCAATGGATCGTCATCCATTCGCGATTCTACTAATTCGTGCGCCTTCCACTACGTCTTGACACTATGTACGGTGCCGGAAAAAGAAAGCACGCTCACCAAAGAAAATTAAGGTCGTCAACGCACAAGTCTGCGAAGGAGGCTAGCATAGTGCCATATAAAAGAGGGCTTTATAGAGAAACGAGCCGGCAAACTTGAGCCGATTTTCACATAAATATATTTTGTAGTGGATGCAACCCGAAACGTCTAACCGTTACCAAGACCCTACCCAATTACTTGATTAACCGTTATTTGAGATTTGGCGCATGTATTTTGTAGATTCTACCCTGAACCCAAACATTTGTGTATTTTTGTAACTTCCTTTTTTGTAACTTTCCCCTACTATACATGTTACAGCGTCGAACCTTCTCACTTTGGGGTCTTAACTATAGAATTCGAAATCCCCATAGAGCGAAAATTCTGCTCTATCTGCTACCTGAGACTAACGTAGTGCCACGTTTCTTAGGTGGAAGTATTCCACATTGAAGTTAGTACCCGCCCCAGGGCCTGTACCCGCCCATTCATGATCACTCCTTATTTGGTGGATTACGTCACGAAGGATTCAACCAATGGTTGTGCAGTGTAAAGAGGGTTACATGTAAGTAAGGCATTGTTCATATGAAATCGCGATGCGTGAAAACCGATTCAAAAACCACCTCTCGAAGTGGTTTGGGATCGAGACGCTTGGGATCGAGACGCTTTCAATGTGATTTGGAGCGTTCAGATGGGGCAACGTGAAACCGGCTTCGGGGGAAACCACGTGTAAAGCACCTTCTCTGACTTCATATGAACAGGGCCTAGGTCAAATAAAGCCCCGCCCCCTGGATAATTAATGTCTCCCACGCCGTGTTTGCAGATTGGTTTAAAGTCTGTACGTGACCAGACGATGTGTAACGAGACTTGTGTCACGTAGTCCTGTTGGTCTGTCTGCGCCCTCTACTCTTCAACCTTCCGACCTTCATGTCTGAGCGCTATAAAAACTGAGATATCTGAAAAGTAGGATCGACATTTGTACTTTTGATACATTTAAGGAAGGTGTGAGCGAAATAATTATTCGTTTTGTTTGTAAAGCCTCTGTAGGGTCCATGTCGTTCATTCGCAAACTGAGGGGATTCTTTGGGGTCCTACAAAATTCAGCTGCACTGATGACAGAAGTGTTCATGTGAGATGTGAGATTTGCTCTGTCACATCCTGTTTGAAAATACTCCAGCATCAAAATTACATTACGGACGATTGTGACTGTATCAAGTTTGTCGTTTTTCAAATGCAGGTGGAAATGTTATATTCAAAGCTTTTGTTAAATCAATGTTGGATAACTGAAATGTTCTGTCAAGAAAAATGATTTTGTTTTTTTTTCCATTGGAACACACAGGCATAAATCAAAACGTTTGTACTGAAAGGTGAGGGTCAAGTGTAAGATAATCAAAAGTCCAAAGTACAGCTACAATGCAGGTGTTAAAAATACACTGTTGAAGCGTGGGGATGACGTAAGGGGACGCTTTTCTAGACCAATCAAACCAAAGTATACTAGTCTACTTCATCTCCAAGCAGATGTTAAAGAAGCGATCTGAAATTTCGAATTTCTTCACTATCGATATTTACAATGATGATATTTACAATGATCTTTACTTTGCAAATTGTACAAAATTTACAAAAAAAATAAAGAGATGCCTCACGTCGCTTGTTTTGGGGGTTACTTCAAACGCTTCAAACTTGCTTCGAAATGAGAGTTAATGTCATTTAAGTTTGTTTTTTTTTTGCTTTACTGTCCTAAAATTGCTTTGGACGCCTTCAAGATGTCATTGACCCTGCTATAGAATATTTACAAATGTGATCCGTATTTGCGCTCAGTATTGTGTATTACCGATGGGCCAAACTTCACACTACATGGCGTCGGTAAACACACTGCTCGTGACCCCAGCTATATTGTTAACACAAGAGCGGGACAAATATTGACCCAGGCTGTAGTATGCCGTTGTATGGGGCAAAATAGTAACATAAAACACTTCTGACACCAACGCTAAACTTGAACAAAGGCTTCTACAGCAGCATTACGTTTGTTTCCAGATAGGGCTTTGAGCTTGATAAGTTAACACAAATATACCGAATTTATCCTTGAAGTTCAAAAAAGGTTATGCGATAGTACCCAATAAAGGATAAAAGTCATATCCAGTTGCTTGAGTGACCGTTTTTGGATATATATTGTTCATTTCCGGCACACGATTTTATTGTTGTTATTATTGATATAGTATAATTATATCAATCATCATATTAATGGCAATATCATGTTTTCATGATATTATACAATAGCGTCCCATCGATGTGGTCAAAATTACTCGTTTTCTTTGTATCTGTATAGGCGAAATGAAATAGTTCGAACTTCGAACAAAAGTCAAACGTTTGATAAAAACTCATGTAACGTTATGTACATATGCAGGGCTGTGTACATATCGAAGAACAAAGTGGTGATGAACCTAATGAACGTTTTGACATAAGGCGCGTATTTTCTTTTTTTTTATTATTTAGATAAGTATCAAACGCACAGACAAACTGGTTGTTGTGAATATACACTGTGCGTTGGGCTCAGCCTTTAAATTTTGAATCATCCTTTTGATATATGCGATCCAGTTGACCAATCAGGGAAGAAAATCACGCTGGGATCTAAATTGATTGACACCTCAAGTACACGGTGCGATCCGCGCTGTGTGTTACCCGGATGCAGAGGAACCTCGGTCCGATACAGTTATCAGGAATGAGTTCAAGAGTGATGTAACCTCGCACCCCGTTGGATGGAGAACTAGATAATTTGTAGTTGGTCTCAGTCTCCAATACTTAGGAGAATATGGATGTTTGTAACGTGCGTGGATGCGGTTTGGGTAAACTTCATGCATAAACAACAAAGGGATGTTTTAATAGTTACATGTAATATATGAGAAATTCTATACCACCAAACTAACAACATTAGCTTTACGTATATATACACATTAGAAATGTTGTATGAATCATTTAGAGAACTTAAGGGCACCCGAAGCGTTTTGATGGCAGTATGGTTTTCAAAATGGTCTTCAAGGCCAATTCCCTTTTCTCAAAAATGTAGTAAGTCGAATCAATCCTATCCCATAGCATACTGATATCTGTGATGTGATGTCGCCGACGAAAAATGGTTGCTTGTTTTGCACCGTGGGCTGGTTCTAGCTATTTATTGGTGGTACCAAAAAATAAACGGACTCTTCGCGCATCTTGTTTTTTGAGCTATTTCAAAAGCCTCAAGTATGAGATGATGATGATGAAAATGTGTTAAGGAATGGCAGTAAATGTCAATCAGTCAGATTACCTCATCCTGTATATTTCTTTGTTGTTTTGCTACCCTGACATGTTATTGGATGCCTTTAACACAAAGCGCTTTCCAAAAAGCACCGAGACGCTTCGGTGGCGTGAGGTGACGTCATCGACCATGACGTCATACTCGGTACCGGTGCACCTGTTTCTGAACACAGTTGTTGTTTGGTTATGTCGTTTAGAATCGCTTAGCTCTCGTGTGTTCTAGGTAACATAAAAGAATGTCAAATTGTAAGTTAGACAAACAATATTGTAAGCTGGAACGCCAATCTCTTGTTGGTAGTTAGTGTTTTGATTCAATTGTTTTACACTGAATAATTTTAGGGTTAAAACATATTCATAATTGTTATGATGAGCTCTCATAGATAAAATCTCTTATCCTTAAAAAAAAACTGGAGTATTTTTAATCGAAACATGACTAGAATAGATTTATCGATGTGTTTTTTTTTTCAATTGACCTGGAGTCAGTATTTAGCTAGAAATATTGATGGCGTTTTTATAGTCGTTATAATCATTATATATCCATGTTATAATGTTGCAGTCAAGCCATCGTCTTTCAGATGAAACAGCAAATAAAAGTACTAAGGCTCTAATGCACATAGAACAAATCAGACTAGGGCGTTGTAACCTATAATGTTGGTTATAGTCACCTGTTGTCTGACAGATTTTACCTAACCAAACCGTGGACTTTTTAGCTTGCAGTACTAAAGACAAACAGATACCGTTTAGTCATTGTTTGAGAGCCCAAGTTTACCGAAAAGCTTTACGAAAACAATCCCACACAAGGGCCGAATCTCACACAGGTGTAAGTGGTGGATGTTGGGGCCCATTTGTACTGTCCCTGGGCTAAGTAAACAGCCAGTGTTGGTCCTTGTTAATCATTGTCCCCGTGCCTATCACAGTTAGCGGTGAATCAACAACCCACGACAAGTCACTGTGTTCAAAATTCCTACCTCGCCAGGTAAAGTTTGAGGTAAATTCTTTAATGTTGTTAGACATTTAGTACAGTAGGTGGGCATATCTTTCAGTCACAGGAAACTGGCAGGATTTTCAGAGGAAAAGTCGTGTAGATTTCTGTCAGTGGGACACTGTTGGTCGACTTTTTCCGTCTGCGATAGGTAACGTTACGTTTTATGGTCACCATCCAACACTGGTGTTACCAAATCGATGTATGTGTACGTACGTAAAAAGGTATGTTAATTTTCGATTTTTAGCAAGAAAACGGACACAGAGTTTATAAAGTAAAACGGAAAATCCGGTCATTTTTTGCATTTGGCACTTTTTGGCTCTGCAAGAGGACTATTTTTCTTCACATGTTTTTGGTTTGATGATGGCAACCAAGCGTAACAAAATCATATGATATGAAAAAGTAAAAGATCCTTAATATTTTCATTTTACAGTGTAACGTTGACAAATTCGAGCATATGGAATACGAAATCGTAGTCTCAGAAAAAGTAAAAGTTTCTAAAAATTCTTATTTTTAAAAATAAATTCATGAGGGTGCTTGAGGTGTCACGCTTATGTAAACACGTCACACCCAATAGGAGCTGGTGGCAAAGGTTCCCTTGATTCAACAGTACTGTAACGGTCACTGCAGGTTTGAACAGCGTCACCTGGGTAGAAGACCGTCCCACGAACAGGCGCCATAGCGCGAGGCTGCAGGCTGAGGGAAGCTACCATCGGACGACTTTGCTCCTCGAATTTCACGCAAATTCGAGTAGGATTACAACTCCCTGAGGCATGGGGGACGAAAAAAAGTAAGTTTGTATACCTTTTCAACAATTTCTGTCAGAAAATGAGAGATACTGAGGTAAAAAGTGGAGTTTGGAATCTAACACGTGTCCTTGCTGGATTTTGTGCAAACTACTGTACTTTGTGGCAATATGGCGGCCATTTCTCAGTTTGCGCGCCATTATTGAAAACGTCAGTTTTAAACTTTTATAAACTGATGAAAAGGTGTGAAAGGACTCTTCAAACGTGCCACATGCGTTTGCATGTGAAATGTGGAAGATATAATGATATTTTCCACAGAGAAATAGTTATAAAAAGGAAATCTTATATAAAAAAGCTAGATAATCAGTATGCTCTAAACGTCCTCTAATTTGTTACTATAATGTTAGGATGTTGGCTAAAATCAACTTGGTCACCGAAGTTCTAAAACATAATGTACAAATGTTATTAAAATGTTATTAAGTTTAAAACGAACATTATCAACAAATTTCAAACATGAAACTTAACAGGAACACTGAATTATCAGTTATTGATATGAAAGGTTTATTTTCACCTAAATATGCAACATTTTCATTTCTGTCGCGAATGTGGCTCTATTTTCACCATTGACATATTCTAACTTTTTGAAAAAAAGATATTTGGTTGTCTTGAAGGGTTTTTCGTGATTTTTTTTTCAGAATTTTTGCGTAGATTCCGTTGGTGAACTTTGGACAGTCTCTGTACGCATGTTTGCGCGGCAAAAATAACTGTTGTCTCTCACACAAATTTAAAACCAACGTTTTTATATGATATACAGTATTTTTCATCCATCTTGTTAGGAACATCGCAATGTGTAGTAATAGGCGCATCTACCGAACTATGTTTCGCTCATTAGCCACTGGAGTTGTGAGGAAACTGTTTTTTTTTACGAGAGCCAACATATTTTTCGCTGAGTTATTTGATCTAAGCTTGTCCATAAGGGCACCCAACTCAAAGATTTGCTGGACAACTGCATAAAATAGTGCGGTGGTGACCAAAATGGCCATAAAACCCTGGTTGTTTTAGCCAAATACTTGTCGGCGCCATGTGTGTTTTATACGCAAATACGGTCGCGTATGTACGCCGAAGTCATTTTTTTTATTCCAGCTCGCCTCTATCTCAAATTTAGAACGTTTAAGTTTTTTTAGAATTCTAAATGATGTTATGCAAAAAGAGTCAAACTGACAGTTAAAAAATATTAGCTTCTATGTCTAGTTTGCATGTATGTTAGACCTCTCTCCGTTTTAGAGAATTGGAATCATATGAAAACTTCCTTTATGTGTTTCGCCATGATAATCATTTGTTTAACAGCTTGAATTTTCTTGCATGTATTTTAAAGTATCTAGGCAGAGAGTTGGTTGTATATCGTACTGTCGTACATCAAACTAAAAATACCGTTTTACCATCTTTTCCTAAGTTTAGGTTTGTAGGAGAGCTCTACGTTTAAAACGTGCAACTGTGTGCTTTAAGCCATACTTTAAAGCAGGTTTCGGTAAAGATTTGAAGTAAAAATGAATTGTGTTTTCAGTTGAAATCTAAGCAAATTGAAGATACACAACTGTACCACCCAACCTCCGACTTTGAGTTACGGTAGAGTGATTTTTCTAGGGGAAGCCGTATCAGTTGCATGTTTCCTTTGTTTAGCCACTTTGCAGTGAAACATTACTCTGATGTGTACACGTGTGTGTGAGTGTGTTCGTGTGCCCGAGGTACCCAATGCAATTTCAGGGCGGCAAAAAAATAGCAGCCGGCCAAACGAAAAATAGCAAAAAAGCATCCGTTTTCCGCATGTTTGCCTCACAGATGTCAGTATGATATAGGACAGGGTGAACCTTGACTTTGAAAATCCAGTCTTGCCGCTCTGAAATCTTATCGGATGCCTTCAAGCACATCAAGTAGCTTACAGTCTTTGTAGCTGGCGGGGTATTAGTAAGAACAGCAGGATTTTCCGCCAAATTGACAGGCAAATGCATGGTACATCCAAGTAACTGATCCTATCTTGTGCTAACAGATTATTTCCTATTCAAACTCAAGCCAAGGGTCGTGGCAGGGTCACACATAAGCCGTGCCATGTTAGCTGACCGCCTCGTGGCACGGACTGGTACGCCTGGCTGTATACTATGACTCAGCGCCGCTTTCTCTGCATTATACAGACACTGTAAAAGATTAACAGCTGAATTCTTAGCTCCCTTTCATAAATTTAACAAATACTCCCGCTTGTAAACCAGGAGTATATTCGTTCTACATGGAAATGAATCAGAAAGAATACTGCAATTTGTAGACGGTTTCTGTCCGTTTATAGTTCTCGTTTTTGAATGGGAACTGTTTGTTGTTTGAGAACTCGTGCTACGGACGGTACCTAGCCTCTAAACTGGCCCGACCTGCCTACGTTTTGTTTGCCAAGGTGCCCGCCAAATAAATGGAGAACAAACAAAACCGTTACACCTGTCGCACCCCTGGCCACCATATAAGGAGACCCGTCTTACGGGCCTCAGGCGTGACGTGGCATGGTGGTGGAAAAATGGCGGGACGTGAAACAAAAATGGCGGAACTGCAAAGGTTAACAGATAAAAAAACAACGCTGTAGGATATCTTAGAATCCCAGATTGACCAAACAAAGCTAGATTATTCCATCTGACATCGTCTAAACAAAAACGTAGAACAGTAAAAAAATGTTGCTAAATTGTTGCCGTAAGGCTGAAAACGGTTGCAAACTGCCTGTCGGGAAATGTATTTGAATTGAATATTGGCGGGGGTGAAAAGATTTAAATGAACTTATACATCAATATACAAAAAACATTAGAATTTTGGAAGATTCTATTGTTTTCTTCTTTATGCCTGTGATATTTAGAGACTAGCATTTGTACATTCGTGCCTGGTCGCTCGTTCCACCGTCTTTGTAGTCATGCAAGTGGCCGTCATTTATCATCATTTAACGTTAGTAGGTAGACGATTTAGGAGCAGTCCGTGGTGTTCCTTCGCACAGTAAACAATTACAGAAAACTTTACAACATTGCTTAAGTTTAGCCTGGGTGTCCGACTGTTGCCAGGGCTAGTATACAGGCTACGCCAGCTCCTTCGCTCCAGGTCCAAGATGTTCCCCCAAAAAATTACCCCCTCAGGTAGCCTTCGATCTTCACATGGTCTAACTTTGGGCGCTGAGAACAGTCTGGCACCCGAACTATATAACATAGGCGTGGGGGTCTCGATGGGGCAAACGAGCAAGCCGGAGTTTCCAGTATTCCTGGGACGAATTCTAAGCGATTACCAAATATCCAGGGCTTTCTTGAGCACCTCACAGGGTCTATAAGTCGTATTAAGGGGCTGTTTCAAATAGTTGTCATTTGCATATTGTTGGGCTTAGCCAGGTGGAGGGAACATTCTGCATTTACTTGCAAATGTTCCTGTCTAGCTAGCTTTACCAATATGTGTTGTATCTAGAATCGTACGTAACCATGCTCAGGCACGGTTGTGGATAGTCCACGCGTGTCCACAACATGAGGCAAATCTACGTTCAGGCATAGAACTAGATAGGCATGGTCCTGAATACGCTAATATGTTGATTCCTTGTCGTGTATTACAGGCGGAGAGGCGGGGTGAAGAACTGGTCCACCAAGCGGCTGGTTCTGCTGGCGATCGTGGTGGTGCTGTTGTGTGTGGGGTTAGCCATCATCACATGGTGGTTCGCCAAGCCCCACTACTGGGTCTGGCTGGGAGAGCGAGACTTCAGAGGAACGTTCGAATACGATGCTCAATCGTACGTATTTCAAATATTTATAAATTTATTTATTTATGAAGATTTACCACATTTGTGGAAGGATTGACATTATTGTATTGACACTATACATTTGAAAATATTCGTCAGGTTGGTAGTACATACGATATGGGGATTTTCTTTTTACACAACCGGTGATGCCTCTGCTTCGGGATTGTGTCCTCAAAGTATATATAAGCGCCACCTACATTTGTTACATATAGTGGCCAGAAGCAGTACTATAGAAGATCTGAGGAAGGTGTCTGATTAGTTGATATGTCTCTCTTGTCCTGTTAATGTATTTCATGTCCTCTCCCTGTCACATATGCATATGTTATTAGTACTAATTAAGTAGAGATAGAACCTTTAAGTAGAAGAAGTAGAACATTATGTCAGCACACGGTTGCATGGTTATTTTTCTCAAACTAAAAACAGTATTTAATTCTGTACCCTTTGACCTCGTCAGTTTGTAATAAGCTCTCGTGAATGAAGTTGCAAAAATGATTATCATAATTATGATTACCTTCGCAGAAGGAAAACATATAGTTTTTGCTCCTTCTTCTTCTTCCGTTCCAAACACACAAGGTCAGTGACCTGGACCAGACGGCTGTCACCATGGCAACTGGTACATAGCAGACACCCTGTGGTGTTGAATTACATTGTGTTGTAAGTTGCAAGCCAGCAGGGTTGGACTAGTGTCACCATGTATATGAATAATGTTAAACTTTAAAAGAGTAGTAGTTTGGTTAGCTACACCATGTGAAGGTAAATATTATGCATTTGCTAAATGTTACCTTTCTAATTATTACCACAGGAAGCTGCTAATAGTTAGAAACGAGACCGGGCACGAAGTGCAGCGCGCCACGCTGGGATACCGGATCCCCAAGGTGGAGTGGACGTGGGACGACCCCTGGATCTGTAACGAGGGAGACTACTGCTTCGACTGGGAGAGGAGGGGCGTGCTGTCACTCGTCTACGAGGAACTGATCGAAGAACGGAACTTGCACTGTATGAACGTCACATGGCAGGTACGACACCCCCCCCCCCAATAAAACACATCACAATGTAGGGGATATTTGAATAGGTTAAGCATCCAATGAAATTTCAGGCCAGCAAACAAAGAAATGAACTATCTCTATTTACTGACAGTTACTGACATTTCACCCATTTTCTTGCAATTTTTTTTGTCAGCATCTCATACTTGAAGCGCTTGAAATAGCCCCAAAAGGAACTATGTGAAGAGTATCTTTATTTTTGGCTACCACCAATAAATGGCTAGAACCAGCCTACGATACAAAACAAGCAACGTTTTGTCAGCAACAGCGAATTTCAGTGAATTTTTATGTGAATGAATAAAACACATAGACTTACCACTTTAAGAGAATGACCAGAAAATTGACTGTAAAAGAATCCAGTTTTGCCGACTGCCTTTAACCATCCAACATGGCGGACGATACTTACGTCATAGTCACGTGAGGGCAAGTACTCCATTGATAGTTTTAAATCCTCCTGCAGGTGAACTGGGAGGGAAGAACAGAGCAGGAGACGTTTTACCCGTACGACTGTTTCGACACGACCCGAGCCCACTGGTACGGCGGCGCGCAGGTCTTCAGTCAGCGCTGGCCGGTCAACAACGGCTCCGGGGAGATGCAGCCCTTCATCACTAATGACTACCTGAGCTGGGGCGAGGCCAACAAGGACCGTTACGGTAAGGACTGTGGTTGTCATGTTACGTCATCGTACTTGTTGAGTATTGATGTGAGTGTGGTTCTGTTTTGGGCTAGTCTGCGTGCATGCTCACTATCGTGTGTGTTTGTGTAGGCGTATGTGTGCAGGTGTGTGTGTGTGTGTGTGTGTGTGTGTGTGTGTGTGTGTGTGTGTGTGTGTGTGTGTGTGTGTGTGTGTGTGCATGTGTGTGTGTGTGTGTGTGTGTGTGTGCATGTGTGTGTGTGTGTGTGTGTGTGTGTGTGTGTGTGTGTGTGTGTTTCACACTTATAAGTTATCTATCTTTTACATGGCACCTTGTATGGTAGAGAAGTATTTCATAATCATTATCATTATCAGGACCGCTTGCCTCAAACACCTATATCCAAAACATAATGGTCCCATATGACACTCCCCTTTCAATTTATATTTTGGATCCTATTACTTGCTTTTTCAATGATGCATACATCTATTTGATGCTAAGTTGTTCATAGATAGAATAAAGAGAACTTCAATCAATCCGTACTTTTCGGTATGTAAAAAAATTGTGTAGCAAACGTCTTACAAATGCGCCGAATCGGCTGCTACTTTTACAGGCAGCGTGATGGAGAGGTTGTTCGTGACGTCAGAGGGTGTGGGTATCGTGATTGAGGATGACGTCCCCTTGCACCTGTCACTCAACGCCAGCGGAGATGGCAGGATGTGTATCCTCTCCAACTACACCTTCCACTACCCCAACCCGCGAGGCAGGCTCCCGCATATGAAGTACGCAACCTTCCATGTTGTCATTGCTGCAAATTCACTTACTTTCGCAGTGACTTATTAGTTTACAGTAGGAAATAAGGATATTTTTTGTATCATGGTGTTTTGAAGATCAATTCATCTTCCTTTCTTCCTTTCATCAACAGTAGTCATATTTAAAGGAGTCTTGTTTAAAGTGTAATGAATCCATTGTAGAGAGGTCACTGCATGAAAAAGTACAACCGTCTCAAATTTTCATGATTAGCAGCTTTAGAATGTATTTTTTATACTTTTCAAGTGAGTGAAATCGTTAAAATCGTCTTTCCTGTAATGTTTTCCCCAGGTACTCCATCTGTGTTGGTGAGAACGCCCGCCAGGTGCACGAGTACATGTACCACCGGTACTACCGCCAGCCCAGCGGCCTGCCCGCAGACCTGGTGCTGAAGCGGCCCATCTGGTCCACCTGGGCCCGCTACAAGAAGGACATCAACCAGTCCGTGGTGCTGGAGATGGCCAGCGAGATCGTCTACTGGAACATGTCAGCTAGTCAGGTCAGTTTTCCAGGAACACCTCTTTCAGAATCAGCTTCTAGGAAACATTTTTAGGGACCATTTCTTGCAACTAGCTTTGGAGACGGCTAGTGATCGTCTACTGAAATATGTCAGCTAGTCAGGTCAGTTTTCCAGGAACATCGTTTTCAGAATCAGCTTCTAGGAAACATTTTATGGACCATTTCTTGGAAGCTCCATCTCTGTTCTCAGACCTGCTTGCAACTGTGTTCAGAAGCGAGGAGAGGCTACATGTAAACCTGTACATATTCTCATTAATATACTACCCGATACCAGACTTTTCTCTATTGTAGATACAACTTCATCACAATGACCTGTACTTAGCCTGTAAGAGCATAAATGTACAATGAAGGCCTTTCAATCAATTAATGTACTGATTTTTTATTGACAGGTGTCAATTGACGACTTCTGGGAAACGCGGTACGGAGAACTGCACTTCAACGAGACCAAATTCCCGGAACCGAAGTCTATGTTCGACTACTTCCACCAGAAGGGCTGGGACGGCACGGTCTGGGTCCATCCATTCACTAACATCGACAGCTTCACTTTCGAGGACAATGCGGCTTTCGGCGAGCCAGGTACATAAGTCGCAAGATGCAGCCAAAATTCAAATTTCTATGATCTTCTCTATAGAGTGTATTGTTTTGATTTATCTATTTGCAATTTCATACTCTAATTTCAAGGAAAAGTACAGAGATAAATATATAGATACCGAACAACAAAGGCCACGTTTCACCAACATTGTTTGTTGAACTCGTGCTGTTGTCTTTATTGTTACTTTAGACTACTGGGTGTCGCAGGCGCCACAAAAAGCGACGGGGCAACCGGACGTACCGGGCTTAACGAAATGGTGGTGCGGCACGCAGTACGCAGCCCTGCTGGACGTCACCAACCCTCTGGCCCGGCGGTGGTTCGTGTCTCGACTAGAGGTACGTGGTAGTTGGCTATAGAATATTTACCTTCGTCAAGAAGGTTATGTTTTGGGGAGTGTGTGTGGGGGGGGGGTGAACTTGAAGGTCACAGAAAAACAAGAAAAATACTTCCCTGAAGTCTAAAAGTTTTTTTCCCTTTGTCTTTGAGTTTCGAAAACTCAGGATTGAAATCTAAAATGCACGGGGACTAAGCCTTTTTCTAAGATACCTGTAATTTTACTGAAATAAGTTAGGACCCAGCTAATGTTCAACACAGTATACGATGCATTCGTCAAGGCAAGTTCTTGTAATAAAAACCTTACAAAACGAAATATAATGTTTGAAAACATACACACACATACTGGTACTACTGCCCAACTGTATGCATGGTCTTATAAGTAAACGTCTTTGTGCTTTATTTTAGGAACTTCGTACCAACTTCACGATCGACTCGTTCAAGTTTGACGGAGGAGAAGCCCAGTATCTCCCGGATGTAAACTACCGAACCTACACCACCTACACCAACCCCAACTACTACACCAGAGACTACGCTGAGATGGCCGCCATCTTTGGTGGACAAACGGAGGTCAGTGCACATCTCATACCCGCCTGTAATATAGTCAGTTACAAGTTTGTGAATGGTTTACGTAAAGCACCTAACTAACACCCCACCTAATTTCATTTGATAAAGACTAGTTCTGATGGATCCTTAGCCCTGAAAGCGATTGCAGAATATCAGAGGCCAAAGCATATAATAGCGCTGAACATAACTGATTATTATTAACTAGTATCAAAACCACGTAACTTATTGATGATTTAAAAAAAAAATTTGCAGGTACGTGTGTGATACAGATCTCAAGAGTACGCATGTTCGACAAAAACTCGGTCTTTACGACAACGGTCTGCGGACGATCATCCCGACCGCCCTGCTGTTCTCCATCCTGGGCTACCCCTACATCCTCCCCGACATGATCGGCGGGAACGCCTACAACGACCAGCTGCCCGACCGGGAGCTGTACATCCGCTGGATGGGCATCTCCACCTTCATGCCCACCATGCAGGTTAGTGACGGTCTGTAGGTTCTTAAACACAAACTGGGAAAAATTTCAACATATTTGTGCAATTATCCCACATTTCTGACATTTATAGTTGGCGCTAAAACAGCCTAAATGAAGTCACCCAGTTTTTGGAACAGATTTCAGAATGGTAGGTTACGGGCTGGGATTGATTCAACTTACTGCATTGCAGGAATGACCAAAAATCCAGTTTTGCTGCCCTGGAATTGCATCGGATGTCGATTTTTTGTGCAGTTTGTAGCTATAGCAGTACTGACGATTGTGTCGTATGCTTTTTTCCGCCAGTTCTCCATCGCCCCCTGGCAGTACGGTGCCGGTGATGACGAGGAAGTCATCCGGATCGCCCGCAAGTTCCTGGAGATTCACGAGCGTGACGTGTACCCACAACTCGTCACCTTCGCCAACGAGGCCGTCAACGGCCGCAGGTACGGATTGTACAGAACGCCTCCCAGCGATCAACAAGCACGTGCAAATCCAAATGTACCTTAATTAAGTTACTTGACACGACAATAGTTATCATGTCTATCAGACTCATGACTGTGAAACTTTTTGTCAGGTACGGTAAACGGACAGTCTAACTCACTGTGTTATCGATTATTTTCCTTATAGGTGTGGGCAGGAGCTTAAAGGTGTGGGAAGGAACTTATAAGCACTTGAAGGCACTTGTAGGAGGGAACGTATAGGTGTGGGAAGGAACCTATGTGTGTGTAAAGGAATGTATAGGTGTGGGAAGGAACTTACAGGTGTGGGAAGGAACTAACAGGTGTGGGAAGGAACTGATAGGTGTGGGAAGGAACTTACATGTGTGGGAAGGAACTTATAGGTGTGGAAGGAATTTGTAGAAAGGAACTTATAGGCGAGGGAAGGTACTCATGGGGGGGGGAACTTAAAAGTGTGGGAAGGAACTAAATGGCGTGTTTGTTTTGTAGGTACGCCCCGATCATCCGGCCGCTGTGGTGGGAGGACCCAGAGAACATCCTGGCTCAGACCATCGACGACGAGTTCCTGGTGGGAGACCAGATTCTGGTGGCGCCCATCGTGGAGAGGGGCACAACTACCAGGTAAACAAACGCTTGTGTATACTGGATGTACATTTTTTATCTATATACAATGTATATAGATACGTATATACGTATCTATATACATTGTATAAGATCATTAACATGTTACTTGTGCATAGCCCAGTAGGACAAAAATGTACAGTAAATGGCTGCTATATATTTGCCTAACAAAATGTTTTTGTTTACGTCTACAGGGAGGTGTACTTCCCGATCCAGGGCGTTAGCTGGCAAGACGCCCGCGACCGAGGCCGTGTGTATCGCGGCGGAGAGTACCGTACTATTCGGGTGGAGCTGGACGAGGTGGCGTACTTCTACAGAAATTAGAACAAGCCCCTTCTTAGAACCAAGGCGGAAGAACATTATGTACTGTAATCACCCAAAAGTACAACAGATGATCTTTGTAAAAGCCCTAACAGTGGTATTTACTAAATACCATACCAATGTTGTAAAACTAGATTAGCGACATGAATCTGTGTTCACTCAAGAATGTTTTTTAAGTGAAATGTTCTTCATTTTTCCTTGGCAAAAACTTTTGTTTCATTTCTTACCCGCAAATTTGACCAGAAATAGTGGCAAAGGACATTCTGGTCACGGAACATAAAAAATGTAAAAAAAAGTACAAAAAGAAAAAAAAGTACAAAAAAAGGAACATGTTTGCGTCAGCTTTTTTACCGGTGTTGAAGAAGGGGCACATTGCTTCTTGTTAAAAACATCGACTTAGATAAGCGGACAGCTTGCATTTGTATGGGTGTTGTTGGTGGTGGGAACAAGAGATGGTAGATTGTTATCAGAACAATGAATTTGGTATTGTTGCCATAGAACTAGACAGTAACGTTATAGTGTTTACCCTACTAACCCTTACTAACCCTTACTAACATTTCATCAATGGTTTGTGCTACTAACCTTCTAACTTTCCTGTCAGTTTTGTGTGGCTTTTACTAACTCTACTAACCGCTTGTTTTTTAAACTAACATTAAGACTAACCATAGAGCAGTTATAATACTGTAAAGTTGATTTCAGAATTCACAGCATTTACAATCATTATAAGCATAAAGCTGAATTTTGCTGAAAATTAACAATTTTTACAAAACTTCTTCTCTTCTGTCATTCTGTTAAGGCTACTGGAAGCTAGTAGTAGACTTCTTTTGTTTGATAATGAAACAAATGATTTATATGCATTCGCCACGTAGAAGTCTTGTTAATGGATTTTGTACTTATATAGTTTATTTGGTCAGGGTGCTTAGTAAGCTAGCATACTCCAAAGACAAAGAGGTTGAGTAGGAAAAAATTGATTGATACCTCCCCCATCTAACTTTAGTACACTTTGTTTTTTTAGTATGTGCTGTTGTTGTTACTTTTTATGGTCATAAATGGGTGATATTAAAACTCTTTTGGTCACCAAAGACTATTTATGTTGGTGATCTTTGAACTGTTTTATTCATGTTCTATGATGCGTGAGCGAAGCAAACAAAATTGCACTCCAACATATTTAGTCAGGATTTGAATAGTATTAGAATATTTTCTTCTCCGTTTTTTTCTTCTCTTCATGAGAACACCAGACTGTGACAATATGGCTCAGTAGAAGATGTACCATGTTCAACCTTTGGTGAATTTAGTTGAATTTTTAGTTCAATATGGCGGTCGGAAATTCGCAGTGGTTTGTGGGAACGTTTACATCAGCATTTTGTACTTGTTTGCTGTTTGATCCCAGTCCAGGTATTTGTGATCAATGAAGTCACTGTAAGGCGTGGTGTGACCGTTTCTCAATAAATGGGTGTAGAAATCATCATCGTCACTGTGTCCTGAATAAAGCACGGCTCGAAATGCATAGTATTGTGCGAATATCCACAAATGACTCACTTAATTACTCATATCCATAGAGCTAGTTTAATATTCTGCAGTTTATAAACATTTCACTATTGCTGGAATAACCTTTTGGCATTGTTTAAGCAAATAAATCCACATAAATGCAATTCCACAGCACATTTTCGTCAAAATTCCATTCTTTATAAGCGTCTGAAATAGTCTCTTTACTTTTGGGTATCCCCATAAATAGCTACCAAACAAGCAAAACAAGCATCTGTAGACGTCAAAATGAAGGCAAAAAAGGCGATTCGTGCTTCAAACTCATTGTATATATTTTCCTTTGCATGCCATTACATAGTGATTAATTTAAGCCACTATCGAAAATTCCAACAATTTGACATTTATGAATCACGTGGTTTTCTAATTAATTATGCAAACGAGCCCCTTACTTGCATAATCCGTATCTGTTGTTGTTCTGCTTGTCATAGATTGCATAATGTTCCATGTATTGAAGTCATATTAGATGACCTTTACCAGCAAATAGCAGACGCACAGCATTGGATAGTGTCTGAAATACCTTGCTAATTTACATAGAATAAGAACACTATGCCTTTCATAATCGCTATTCTTTTTGATTTACTTAAAAATTGTACTATTTGAATTTAAGGCATAATGTTTAACATTATATTGTGGACTTAAAAAAAGCGACAATAATGAGTGTGATCTGAAATAAATAGTAGGAGAAAAATAATGCAACATGTAAGATTGGAAATACTTATTGATGATAATTGAGTCAAAATTTGGCAAATTAAGATGCTTTTTCATGTACTAGTATACACTCCTGAAACAGCGTCTGGTATCATGTATAATGTGGAACACTGGAATTTTAGAAATTTCTGTTAAATTATGTATTCCTCCATTTCCATAATTTGTATCTCGTATTGCTAATAAGACATCATTGAATATTCACCATAATAAAGCTTCTAATTTTAACGTTAAGTTTTTTGTGCACTGATTAAAAAAAGCAATTGAAAGGTAGATCGACACAGGAGGTGCCATCTTTACTTAAGTCCCTGTCACACAAGCAGGACTTTCCCCCGACCTCGCCCCGAGGTTCGGCTGACGTTCGTGAGCAGTCTGGTTAGATTTTGGCCACGATTACATTTATGTACTAATCTAAACCGATTTGAGTTACGTTTGACACCCGAACACACGCTGAAAACTGCTGTCATGTCGGGCCGGTGTTCTGTGGAACAACAGCCGAACAAAAGCCAACCATGTTTGAACCTCCCAACCAACCACCGAATGTTTTAAACATTTTGAAATTTGAAACACCCAAATAGTAACCAACCTCGTCGAACACCAGCCGATCCAGCCGACTTTGCTCTATTTTACACCTAACGTAAACCACGGCTATAGTGCTTTCTTCTAGTGTTCGGGGGGACAAATTCGTGAATACGTGACAGGAGCTTTAGCTTAGAGACTAGCCAGCAGGGCTGAAACACAGCACGTTGTTTCCGGGTGTTTCGATGTAGATAACCATCCGATCAGCTTCTACAATATTAACTCCTGAATAAAGTAAAATAATTGTCATAAAATATTGGAAAGAAAACCTTGTCATATGAACGTGTGCTTGTCTAAATGTATTCAAAATATATGGTACACAACTGAAAACAAGAACGAGACATTTCTCTCGTTAATCAGCCATTGAGGTCATTCTTATTCTATTAAATTCTTAATCTGGTTATGATTAGAATCATTTAATGTCTTTTAAAGCCTTTGAAGGTTGTGGGACTTTTATGTCAACTCATTGTGTGCATATGTTAATTGTATTTTGTTGTGTGACGCTGTTAAAATAAGTTTAAAAAAACTTAACTGAAGCGCCACACGGTCCTTGTTATTGTATTGTATTGTTATGTGTTGATGAATAAAAAATATTTTGTCCGTAAAACAATGTAGGATCAGTTCATTCTTGCCACAAGAAAATTACGCAGAATTACCAGATAGGAAAAGACAATCTAGAATTGGTTCGCCTGGACACGGGGATGAGTATGGAGAGTTACAATGTAAGTAGTGGACGCACCTTTTGCAAAGTTAGCGACGTATCCACTTTTAGAAAAGAGGATATAAGGCAGGTTGTTTTTAGGAGCTCGTTCCCATGAGCAGACTCCGCCCGGACCCTTGTCTGCCACCATAAGCCAACCAGCATCATAGGGGCAACCGGGCCAGTTACGGTTGATGTAAAAAGATCTGCAACGAAGAGGGTCGTGTGCCACAATCAATTTTGTTGTAAGTTAAAACTTTTGATCCAACACAAGGAAAGATTTCTCACCTAGAGCTTTCGACCAGTCACTCGGGTCTTCCTCGGTAGACTGACCCAGTGAGACTGGTCAGGTGACTTCTCTGAAGTGTGACACCAACACTGGGTCAAAGGTACAACTAATGTATCTAGTAAGCGGCGTCGCAGAGAAGTCACGTGGCAAGTCCCACTGGGTCAGTCTATTGAGGAAGACCAGAGTCACTGGTCGAAAGCTCCAGGCGAGAAATATCGCTTTGTATTGGATCAAAAGTTTTAACTTTCAACATGTACAAGACAGATAGTCTTTCATGACACAATTAAGTTTCCGTATGGCCGTTATAATAGATATACTTTAAATGGGGTAATTTCGTGAAAATGATAGTTTGAGGTTCAAGATGTACCTTTCAGCTCTTTTGGTTCCTTCGATCGAGAAGACGTTTTGAGGTTGGGTGTTGATGTCGTTCCAGGGAGATGAGAGCAGACGAGACTTTTTGAACCAGTTGAACTTGTCCGTGTTTTTCCCATCAAAAATCAGCACTGCATTTCCGTGGGAGTTAGACTCCAACACAACCTTCACCTGCAAAAGACGCCAATCGTACCCCCTGATGTAGTAAAATCTCTCTTTGGTTATATTTCATCTCATGCCCTAACGCATTCGATTTGGAGTCTGTGGAGGATGTTATCCTTGCAGTGTACTTGCTGTGGCCTTACGTATAAAAACTGCTTCGGTGTAAAGAAGAAGAAACAACGTGCATTATCTCTCGAAAACTTGACAAACGACATACTAATTTGAATGCAGAAAAGGGATCGTAAGTCATAGCTACGAACATGCGGCCATAACTAAGCATAGTAGTTCACTGATATCTTCACGGAGGGTCAAAACAAAAACAAAGTGATTGCAATACTAGTTTAGGAGAAACTTACCCGTTGGATGTTAAGCGATTCCCAACGATCCACGACTGGACATTTGTTATGGCGGACTTTTCCAGAACTCGTACTCCACGCGTCGTAAACCGTCTGTCCTGTTCCTTTCACGGTTGAAAAAACTTCATGCCAGCGAAAGAGCGGGCAGGTACCAGGTGGCCCTGGTGGACCAGGTGGCCCTGACTGGCCGGGTGGACTTTGTGGTCCAGGAGGGCCGGGTGAACCAGGCTGGCTGGGTGGACCAGGTGGTCCAGGTGGACCAGGCTGACTGGGTGGACCAGGTGGTCCAGGTGGGCCGGGTAAACCGGGTGGGCCAGGAGGGCTGGGTGGACCAGGTAGACCAGGCGGGCTGGGTGGACTTGGTGATCCAGGAGGGCCGGGTGGACCAGGTGGGCTGGGTGGACCAGGAGGGCCAGGTGGACCAGGCGGGCTGGGTGGACCAGGAGGGCCAGGTGGACCAGGCTTGCTGGGTGGACCAGGTGGTCCGGGTAAACCGGGTGGGCCAGGAGGGCTGGGTGGACCAGGTGGACCAGGTAGACCAGGCGGGCTGGGTAGACTTGGTGGACCAGGAGGGCCGGGTGGACCGGGTAGACCAGGCGGGCTGGGTGGACCAGGTGAACCAGGTAGCCCTGGCGAGCAGGGTGTACTTGGTGGGCCAGGAGGGCCAGGTAGACCAGGTGGGCTGGGTGGACTAGGTGGTCCAGGTGGGTTTTCCGAACCAGCGGGACCAGGTATTCCATCGTTTCTTGTAGAATGGACTTGTTCGGTAGATCCAACCTGCCTGGTATCCATTGGTAGCCCGGTTGGCACAGGGCGTTTGACTTGTTCAGTCGGGCAAGAGAGGTTTCCTTGTCCAGTCGGTCCAGAGAAGTTACCTTGTCCAGATGGTCCAGAGAGGTTTCCCTGTCCAGCCAGTCCGGAGAGGTTTCCTTGACCAGATGGTCCAGAGAGGTTGCCTCGAAAAGCTGGTCCAGAGAAGTTGCCTTGCCCAGATGGTCCAGACGGGTTGTTTTCTCCAGGTGGTCCGGAGAAGTTGCCTTGTCCAGGTGGTCCGGAGAAGTTGCCTTGTCCAGGTGGTCCAGAGAAGTTGCCTTGTCCAGGTGGTCCAGAGAAGTTGCCTTGTCCAGGTGGTCCATAGAAGTTGCCTTGACCAGGTGGTCCAGAGAGGTTGCCTCGAAAAGCTGGTCCAGAGAAGTTGCCTTGCCCAGATGGTCCAGACGGGTTGTTTTCTCCAGATGGTCCGGAGAAGTTGCCTTGTCCAGATGGTCCGGAGAAGTTGCCTTGTCCAGGTGGTCCAGGGAAGTTGCCTTGTCCAGGTGGTCCAGAGAGGTTGCCTTGTCCAGGGGGTCCAGAGAGGTTGCCTTGTCCAGGTGGTCCAGAGAGGTTGCCTCTAACATAGAGGTCATTTCTACGCATTTCATTGGTCAATTCTGGATTGAAAGGGAAACATAAATCAATGTACTTGGAAAGGTTTGTTAATATCTACTAAGGATACGTTCAAACAAAATATATCATATCAATATCACAACCAATTTCTTCGTTATTTTGCCTTAATGTAATTGCCTGCCGTTAAGAAATGTGCAAGGGACCCGAACAAAACGGTTTTTTTTCTCACAGTTAAAAAAACCCGTGACGGAAGCGCGTTCAAAAACCTTTGGCAGAGGACTTCTAACGCAATACCATGGAAGTCTATATATATAGCTTAATATGCGATGCTGTTCATCAGTCACAAACCTAAGCCAACAAAACCACGCTACCGAAAACAATGAAAGAGGGTTCGACTTTAGGTGAAAAAAAATAGATAAAAAAAGAAGGCTTTAATTAGCTGCTGTACACGAAGTACTTATAAAGATAGAGACAATTAAAAGCTTTAGTAAAAGCCATACATTGGTACTGTGTTTTTTTCAATTATAATAGAGAAAGTTGAAGACAGCTTACCTGTCAACATAATACTCATCTCGAAAAGACGTTGTTCTAAGACGGTTGTTTGGTTTTGTTCAGCGAACAAGGCAAGGGCCAGTTCTGATATTTCCTAAAACACCAGAGTAAAAACAATAAGCTAAGGGTTAGTTGATATTTCCTATATAAAACACCAGAGTTCCAAAACAATAAGGGTCAGTTGTGATATTTCCTAAAACACCGGAATTCCAAAACAATAAGGACTAGTTGTGATATTTCCTAAAACACCAGAGTAACAACAAAAAGCTCACGGGCCAGTTGTGATATTTCCTAAAATGTAAGAGGGCCAACAATGAGGGTCAGTTGTGGTATTCCATAAAGCACAAGAGTAGCAACAATAATGCTCAGTTGTAATATTTCCTACAACACAAGAGTACCAACAGTAAGGGTCAGATGTGACATTTCCTAAAACACCAGAGTAATAACAATAAGGTCAAGTTGTGATATGTTAACGTTCTATAAGAGCAGTGACAAAAATTAGGGTAAGCTGTCATATTTTCTAAAAAAAATAGCCATAGAGTGCCAAACATTAGGGTCAATTGTAATATTTTCCTAAAATTGAAGGGTATTTGTATTTTGTACAATAAGGGTCAGTTGTGATATTTCCTAAAACGCAAGGGCTAAAACAGCAAGGGTCAGTTGTGATATTTCCTAAAACACCATAGTAATAACGGCAAGGGTAAGTTGTGATATGTTCTAAAAGACCAGAGTGACAACAGCTGTCATATTTCCTAATAAAAGAAATAGCTATAGAGTGCCAAAAATAAAGGCCAATTGTAGGCGGAGTTATGATATTTCCTTAAACACCAGAGTTCCAACAATAATGATCAGTTGTGATATTTCCTAGAACACCAGAGACAACCAGAACCAACGACAGGATCAGTAGTGATGTTTTTTACGCAACATTCGTGTTAGTATTACCTGTTCGTGGTGAATATGCATGGACGTGAATCCTGCACTGACCAGCACCACCACTATAGCCATGGTGACCGCCATGCAGCTGCTGTTGGCGCCACAGACGACACGGCGACCACTCTTGCCATACTTATCCGTAGTGTCTGTATAATGTAGAATACAACATGATATATTCCGAATCGCTCGAGGTTTGACACCGACCCGTGGGATCGAGCGCTGGGACGGAGGGTGATGTGTAATTCATTTTATTTATGTCCGTGTTTTTATCTTATTTATGTCATACCAACCCGAAAAAATACGTCCTTCAATGCGAAAGGGTGAATTAAAAAACAAAATACATATATCCACCTCTAAAATATTGGGAATAATGTTTCATTGGAAGCATTTTCGGAGAAACAAACCCCTTAACGATCAGTTTCTGGTCATGTAAAATCTTACCTACTGGTAGACCACACAGCCTTTGTGAAAATTTCGTACTCTTACAAAAAAATACATATTTTCTAATAACACGCAGATTTAAAACTGAATGTAATACACAGGTGCGTAACCTACCTGTAGACGATTCCGTTGCGTCGGGTAAGTCGTAATGGGGCCTGGTGTCGCCGGAGTCCCCTCCGTCGCAGTGCAGCCTTGTCCCCATCTCGCTTTCGTGTGAAGACGACGAGAGATCCGGCAGATTTGTTGTGTCTGAAGACGTACTTCCTTTCCGTCTGAGAGAAGTGCCGTAGCCAGGATTGCTTAGGTCGCACTGAGAGGGGCGAGGCAGCGGGGGGAGAGGCCGGCGGGTTCGCCCGTCGCCCTGCTCCGTGCGTGGCGTATGGGCAGGCCTGGCCTGCTCCTGCATTTCTATCGAACTGGTCGGCAAGAAACCCAGTGCAAATATGTGGGAGATACCCAAACATGGAGCAGAAAATAACGCTGATTTGTCTGAGAGCATATCAAAGAAGTTTGGGATGACGTGGTGCGAATAAAACTTCAACATATTCGCGAGTTTCGTAAACAATTTTCATGAGAGAGCCAATCAAAGCTGAGAGGTTTACACATCAAAAAAGGCATTTCAAATGGCGCGCAGGAGTTGCTGAGTATTAGTTTTAATATTGCCGACAGGCTACTCAGTAAACATTAAAAAACAGTATCCAACTTTATTTACAACCACTTGTTTACAAGAGTCGATGTTTCGACGTTATCTTCCCCAAGCTTAAGACTATAATAACGGGTTCGCTGTGCTCTGAAGCTAGGTGCTACTGACTCACTGTGACAAATACGCCGTAGGTGAGAGAACATGTAGCCAGAGAATCTTGACTTGGGTGATTCAGAAACAAAAACCAGGAAGGCCGATAATTGTTTCAAAGCAAATACAGCATATTCCACTCCAGCCTCATCCCCATACCAAAATGGAACCCCATACCAACTTTCAGGTCATTTGGGTTTAATTACAGGGATCCAGGGCCAAAAATGTACATCTTTTGTTTGAATCGAAAAAAAAAATGGAAAAACTATACATTTCCCCCATACCATGTATGGAGTGAAATATGATAAAAGCTCGCTTTCGGATTACCAGCTGAGTCTACCATGTGGCATGTTGTGGCCTTGGGCGCATTGCCCTTGCTCGCGTTGGAGTTGTTTTGGCAGGCATTGAAAATCACAACAAGTGGTCATATAAATATATACATATGTAAAATGAAATTAGTCTAAAGACGCAATGACATTTTGATGTATATGTAATGTTATTTTATTACTATTTACATAGGCTGCTTGCCTCTATTGCTCTCTGGAAAAAATTAGATGTAATAATATGATACATTCTGTTTGACATACATTTTTCTGAAATCTAGTATAACTTCCAAGTATTGACGATTACTAGAAAAGTAGACTAAATGCACAGCATTAAAACTGAGCCGGATACTTACATTGGGTTTGAGGTTTTAGAACAATAAATGAATAAATGATTACATAAATACATGCACTAGTAGTTCTTCTTATCATTGTAATGTAGCTATATGTGAAAAGTTACAAAGTAGTCACACTAATCACATTTTTATGTTATGTGGACTCTCTGGTCTGGACAAGCTGGTCTACCACTTCCCACACATGCACAGTATCATCAGGTTTCTCTTGTTTTACATATGATGCACTGTCACTGTCAGCCTTCCTAAATCCCCCATCAAAAGTTTCCTCACTCATGTAGGGTTCCTCCTTGGTGTGTATTGCTTGATGTCCGTCCTCTCCATCAAAAGTTTCCTCACACATGTAAGGTTTCTCCTTGGTGTGTTTTGTTTGATGTCTGTCCAATTGGGATTTCCGTGCTGCAGAATAATCACACTGATTACACTTGTACGGTTTTCTTGTATGGGTTCTTTTACATGCATGTCTGCTTAGGGCTTTCTCATAGCGTGTGCTGTACCCGCATTTCCCACACACGTAGGGTTTCTCATTACCTGTACGTTTTGTTTGATGTGTGTCCGATTGGGATTTCTGTGCTGCAAAATTATCTTGATTGGTTGAATCATGCCTTTCCTTGCACTTGTGTTGGAATAAGATTTCCTCATAACTTGCCTCGTGCCCACATTTCCCACACATGTAGAGTTTCTCCTTGGTCTGTTTTGGTGGTGTGCTTTGCTTGTGATGACTGTCCAATTGTGATGTGCTTTGCTTCTGATAACTGTCCAACAGCGGTACAGGATAATCACAATATACCTTTGGAATATTCCACCTTTTTTTTCGTGGTGTTTGTGGTGTTTGTGGTGGTTTCTTGCAATTGTGTCGGCGTAGGATTTCCTCATAGCGTGTACTATACCCACATACTGAACACACTAAGGGTTCATCAACAATCTTGCGTTTAGCTTGCATATGACTTGTCCCCTGTTCTACCTGAAATAATGTACTACTAGTATCAGTTTTTCTCAGCTTCCCATGGAATGTCTCTTCAGAAATAATGAACTTGTCCCCTGGATTGATGTGTTCTGCTTGATGTTCGTCCCAAAAGTTTTTTAGCATTGTAGAATAATCGCAATGATCAAACCTGTATTGTGGTTTCTTGCAGTAGTGTTTGCGTAGAACTTCTTCGTAGCGCGACCTGTACCCACATCCCCCACACACTAAATGTTCCTCTTTTTGTTTTTGTTGTTTGGGAATAGCTATAGTGATAGTGTCTATCTTCTTCTGCAAGTTCTGGCTCCTACTCAATCTTAATGTTTCCTCTTGTATGCGTTTCCTCTCAATGGCGTGGTTTGCTTGATGACTGTTCAACTGACATTTTTCCGGTGTACAAAAATCACACTCATTACACTCAAATTTTTCTCCCGTATGGGTTCCCATATGTCGGACTAGACCACCCTTAAAGTGTGTCCTGTACCCACATTCCCCACACATGTAGGGTTTAGTGTGTTTTCTCTTGTGTTTTCTCAAGTGTTTTTTCCACCCTGCAGAATAATCACACTGATCACACTTGTATGGTTTGTCTTCTGTCTGGGTTTTCCTGCAATTGTGTTGGTGTAGGATTTCTTCGCTGGGTGTCCTGAACCCACAATCCCCACACGCTAACGGTTCCTCCATTTTGACTTCAGGCATGTGACTTTCCATCTGTTCTACTTGTGATGACATGTCGAGCTACAGCTGCGATCACTATAATTTTTGAAAACACCCTCCTGGAGTTAACAGAACAGATGTGAACAATGTCTTTGTTAGCTCATGGATGCGTTACAAAATATACTATTACTAGCCACCGTACTGCGAAACTGCCTGGAGATCGCTTCCACGCAGCGCTTACCTATGAATTTACTATAAAGATATAACATCCCATATCACGTCGTGCATCAAAAAAATCCTCGCCCCCCCCCCTCCGGATCCCCTCCATATCATGCACAAGGAAAACTGACCATTGGATTATGGTCGCCAATCTTCAAACACATACCTATAGGCATTGCTACATCTCGATTGCTACATATCTGGTACTCTTACCTTGTCTGTGTTGGCTAGAAATAAGTAGATATTTGCGTCCTTTTGCTCTTGCAAGGTTCAAAATGGCGGACTCAAAATTCGAGAGTTCATGCAACGGTCAAAGGTTAAAGTTCACAAACCTGACTACCCACATCATGTAAGCATGAATGGCGATCAAAAACGTGACGGTTTTGCCTTCTTTATTGTATGTCAAAAGTGCGTTAGTATATTCATACTGCGATTGGGGAATTTAATTAGAAAGTGCATGTTCCATAATTTTTGCACAAACCTGTTTCAAACTTGAAACGACAGTGAATCAGTATACATTATGTTAATCAGTAAGGTGGCATGTTGCCATCTTAGAGCCTGCGTGTCTTGTACACATAGCCATATTTTCAATGAGAAATCTCGATGAATTCATGTGTCAATATATTATTGCATAATTATATATTTTACATACAGGTATAGGTCCTGAATACCTAAAATGTAAATTTCTTGAGAGTCATTTGGAAAGTGTACATTGGTATGCACATGTATATTTCAGGCCTTGAATAACATGAGCTCTTTCGATGGCTTTTGCACGGAGCTTAATATATGATATGATATGATATTTGACTGTATTACAGTATATCGTATTATATTTGTATTGTACATGAGGTCGTATTATATTACATTCGTTCATTGTACGTGAGATAATGGCACAAATATGTTGAAAAGTGGAAGTGAATGACAATCACAAGGATGTTTCTTTAAAAACAATATTTCAATTTTGGTGCAATGTTACATAATGCCCCATCTAGAGCTTTGAATAGACTGACTTGTCAGTGAGACTTGTCATGCGGTTTCTCTGAAGTGTGACTTCAATGTCAAAGGTATCTGGTAAACGATGTCGGCCCCCGTCGCGGTTGAGTGATGGTGAGCTGATGATGGTATGTTCTTTATATCGGAATATATCGTCCTAGCTAATGGTCTCCCTTGGAATTGTTCTTCTTCTCGAGAGCGAAATAGAAGTTCCGTCCCCTGTTATACCTCTTTGCTTTGTTGATGTACTAGTATGGCAGCATCTTAACAGAGTTTTCTTTGTGTAAGCATAGAAATTCTCTCCAAGAAGAGCA